CCTTTTCCTCCCTTTCTCCCGTCCGTCCCTCCCGTCTTTCCTTCCTTTTTTTTTCTTTCCCTCTCTCGCTTCATTTCCTGCCTTTCCCCATCGCTCCCTTTCTTTCCCTCTTTTTTCCTCTCCTCCCGCTCTCTCTCCTTCCTTTCCTCCCTTCTTTTCCTTCCTCTTCTTTCCGTTTCCTTCTCCCTTCCTTTTCTCTCCCTGTGCTTTCTCGCTCTTGTTTTTCCTTTATCTCCCTTGTGTATTGAGGAGGTACAGTCCCTGGCTGTGGGTGGACAGCAGGGACCCGCTTGCCCTGGAGAGCGGACTCACCCTGGGTGACTCCTGGGTGCAGCTGTGAGCCCTGCCTGAGGCTTTTTCTGACCTCTAGGGAGAGCGGCTGAGGCTGGGGCTGGAGGTTGGGGCCGGCTCTGGAGGCTGGAGCGGCAGCTGGGCGGCGGGACGGGTGGCTCAGAAGTCACTGAAGCATGGGTAGGTCTAACCTTGGGCCCTTGCTGTGGGGAGGGCGTGGAGACCAAGCACATTCCTGAGGTTCTGCTAGGGCCCCGGCGGTGGACAGTGTCCTCTGAGGACCCAGGACCAAGCCAGGCTCCCTGCAGGAGGCCGGGAGCACTGTGGGTGCTGGGCAGGGGTGGGGAATTTGCTGGGGCGCTGCGCCCAACAGGCCTGTGTTGGTTTCCCAGCCTCAGCGAGGTCGCGCAGGACGGGGCCCTGGTGCTGGTTTTCAGTGCCTGGGCCCTGGAACATGGTGTTCCCTTTCCAAGTCTGCAAAGCCTGTCTTAGGGGAGAGAAGAAGGTTCCTTCCATGCGGGTGGGGACGGCTAACCATGTCCAGACACTGAGATGGCGCTCTGTGTGCTCAGCCCTCAGCCTGCACTGGCTTGGTGGCTTGGTGACCCGCCAGCAGGGTGGTGCTGTCTGTGGGCTCTGCTCAGGCTCCTCTCCGAGCCAGGAGGATGCCTGCCTGCTTGGGCCTGGCACACAGGATGTGCTTGGCAAGTGCTTCTGGGATGGATGGGTAGGTGGATAATGGATGGATGGATGGATGGATGGATAATGAATGGAAAGATGGGTGATGGATGGATAGATACATGATGGATAATGGATGGATGGATAATGAACAGATGATGGATAATGGATGGATGGATGATAGATGGATGATGGGTGGGTGGATGATGGGTGGATGGGTGGATAATGGATGGATGGATAATGGATGGATGGATAATGGGTGGATGGATTGATGGATGGATAATGGATGGATGGATGGATGATGGATGGATGGATGGATAATGAATGGATGATGGATGGGTGATGGATGGATAATGAATGGATGGATGAATGAATGGATGGATAACGAACAGAAGATGGATGGATGGATAATGGATGAATGGATGGGTGATGGATAATGGATGATGGATATGGATGGATCAATGATGGACGGGTAGATAATGGATGGATAATGGGTGGGTGGGTGAGTGGATTGATGGACAGATGGATGTGCTTGCTTGGCAGATGATTCTGGAATGAATGGATGGGTGGATGGATAATGAATAGGTGGGTGGGTGGACGGATGGATTGCTCGATCGGCAAATGCTGGAATGGATGGATGATGGATGGATGGATAGATAGATGCATGGATGACTGGATGGATGGATGGATGGATGGATAATGAACGGGTGGGTGGATAGATACGTGGATAGATGGATGTGCTCACTCGGCAAATGCTTCTGGAATGAGGGATAATGGACGGATGGATAATAGATGGGTGGATGGATGGATAGATGATGGATTGATGATGGATGGATAGATGGATAATGAATGGGTGGGTGGATGGATAGATGGATGTGCTTGCTTGGCAAATGATTCTGGAATGGATGGATGGATGGATGGATAATGAATGGGTGGGTGAGTGGACAGATGAATTGCTCGATCGGCAAATGCTGGAATGGATGGATGATGGATGGATGGATAGATAGATGCATGGATGACTGGATGGATGGATGGATGGATGGATAATGAACGGGTGGGTGGATAGATACGTGGATAGATGGATGTGCTCACTTGGCAAATGCTTCTGGAATGAGGGATAATGGACGGATGGATAATAGATGGCTGGATGGCTGGATGGATGGATAGATGATGGATGGATAGATGGATGATGGATGGATGGATGGATAACGAATGGGTGGGTGGGTGGATGGATAGATGGATGTGCTTGCTTGGCAAATGATTCTGGAATGAATGGATGGGTGGATGGATGGATTGCTTGATCGGCAAATGCTTCTGGAATGGATGGATGGATGAATGGATGGATGGATGGATGGATAATGAATGGGTGGGTGGGTGGGTGGATGGATGGATAGATGTGCTTGCTTGGCAAATGATTCTGGAATGAATGGATGGATAATGAATGGATGGATAATGAATGGGTGGGTGGATGGATGGATAGATCGATGTGCTTGCTTGGCAAATGATTCTGGAATGAATGGATGGATAATGAATGGGTGGGTGGATGGATGGATAGATGGATGTGCTTGCTTGGCAAATGATTCTGGAATGAATGGATGGAAAATGAATGGATGGATAATGAATGGGTGGGTGGATGGATGGGTAGATGGATGTGCTTGCTTGGCAAATGATTCTGGAATGAATGGATGGATAATGAATGGATGGATAATGAATGGGTGGGTGGATGGATGGGTAGATGGATATGCTTGCTTGGCAAATGATTCTGGAATGAATGGATGGATAATAAATGGATGGATAATGAATGGGTGGGTGGATGGATGGGTAGATGGATATGCTTGCTTGGCAAATGATTCTGGAATGAGTGGATGGATGATGGATAGATGGATAATGAATGGGTGGGTGGGTGGATGGATGGATTGCTTAATTGGCAAATGCTTCTGGAATGAATGAGTGGATAGATGATGGACGGATGGATAATGGGTGGGTGGGTGGATGAATGGATAGATGGATAATGAATAGGTGGGTAGGTGGATGGATTGCTGGCAAATGCTTCTGGAATGAATGGATGGATGGATGATGGATGGATGGATCATGGGTGGGTGGGTGGATGGATGGATAGATGGATGTGCTTGGCAAATGCTTCTGGGATGGATGGATGGATGGATGGATGGATGGATAATGGGTGGATGGATGGATAGATGGATGTGCTTGGCAAATGCTTCTGGGATGGATGGATGGATGGATGGATGGATAATGGGTGGGTGGGTGGATGGATGGATTGCTTGATGAGCAAATGCTTCTGGGATGGATGGATGGATGGATGGATAATGGGTGGGTGGGTGGATGGATGGATTGCTTGATGAGCAAATGCTTCTGGGATGGATGGATGGATGGATGGATGGATGGATTGCTTGATGAGCAAATGCTTCTGGAATGGATGGGTGGATACATGATGGATGGATGGATGGATGGATAATGAATGGATGGGTGGATGGATGGATTGCTTGATCGGCAAATGCTTCTGGAATGGATGGATGATGGATGGATAATGGGTGGGTGGATGGATGGATAGATGGATGTGCTTGCTTGGCAAATGATTCTGGAATGGATGGGTGGGTGGTTGGATAATGAATGGGTGGGGGGGTGGGGGGGTGGATGAATGAATGGATGGATTGATTGCTCGATTGGCAAATGGAATGGATGGATGATGGATGGATGGATGGATGGTTGGATAATGAATGGGTGGGTGGGTGGGTGGATGGGTGGGTGGATAATGAATGGGTGGGTGGATAGATGCATGGATAGATGGATGTGCTCACTCGGCAAATTCTGGAATGGATAATGGATGGATGGATGAATGGATGGATGGATAGATGATGGATGGATGGATGGATGGATTGCTTGATTGGCAAATGCTGGAATGGATGGATGATGGATGGATGGATGGATGATGGATGGATGGATGGATAATGAATGGGTGGGTGGATAGATGCATGGATAGATGGATGTGCTCACTCGGCAAATTCGGGAATGAATGGATAATGGATGGATGGATGAATAGATGGATGGATAGATGATGGATGGATGGAAGGATGGATGGATGGATGGATTGCTTGATTGGCAAATGCTGGAATGGATGGATGATGGATGGATGGATGGATGATGGATGGATGGATGGAAGGATGGATGGATGGATAATGAATGGGTGGGTGGATAGATGCATGGATAGATGGATGTGCTCACTCGGCAAATTCGGGAATGAATGGATAATGGATGGATGGATGAATGGATGGATGAATAGATGATGGATGGATGGAAGGATGGATGGATGGATGAATTGCTAACTGGGGCTGTTTTTCCGTACAGAGTCCTGCACGTGGGACTTAGCCCTGGACGCTAACTTCTTTGCCCCTCGTATCTGGGAGGGAACAACGCAGTCGCCATGCCTGACTAGGGCATGACCTGGGAAGCCTTTGGGGCCACCTGCCCCGGAACCCGGGGACATGGCCTCCCTGGGAAAGGAGGGTGAGGTGAGCCTCACAGCCGGGAATTGGAAGTGAGGGAGAGAACAGCTGCTGGGTAGTGGGAGTAGAGCTTGTGTCTCTCACCGCCCTCCCCCTCCAAGGACTGAGTCGAGAGGAATGAGTCCCGATCCGCCTGCCAGGCACTCGGCCACGAGGACTCCTTATCTGCCAGCGTCTGATAAAATTACCCGCGTGGCTTCAGCGATCACTGCTGCCTGACCAGCGGGTGCTGTCATGGAATCTGCGTCCACAAAGCCCCCTGGGGTTCAGAGAAGTGGTGGGTTCATATAGAAGTAGAGGTGGCTTTTGTGTGTGTATGGAGACAGAGTCTTGCTCTGTTGCCCAGGCTGGAGTGCAGTGGCGCGATCTTGGCTCACTGCAAGCCCCACCTCCCAGGTTCAAGCATTTCTTCTGCCTCAGCCTCCCGAGTAGCTGGGATTGCAGGTGCGTGCCACCACGCCTCATGTTTGTATTTTTAATAGAGACGGGGTGTCATCCATCCAGGCTGGTCTCGAACTCCTGACCTCAAGCGATCGGCCCGCCTCGGCCTCCCAAAGTGCCGGGATGACAGGTGTGAGCCACCACGTCCCACCCGGAAGCGACGTTAGGCTTCATCCGATGGCCGGGAAGGAATCAGAGCAGGGCTGAGGTGGGCTTTTTGTGGGGTGGGGTGGGGTGCCAGGCTCTGTGTTGGGTGGGGCCACGGCAGCTGTTCTGTAATTAATCATTACCGAGGCTCTGCCCGTAAGAAGTGTGGGCCAGGGAGAGCTGATGAGGCTGCAGGATGAGGGGGCCTGACAGACCCCTTTGCCCAGAAGAGGACCCCCAAAAGACCTTCCCTCTGAAGAGGGCTCCCCAAGACCTCCTCCCTGAAAAGGGACTCCTAGGGCCACCGCTCTGAAAAGGGCTCCTCAAAAGGCCTCCCCCAAAGGGGTCCCCACAAGACCTGCCCTCTGAAGGAAGCCCCCCAGACTTCCCCCATGAAGAGGGTCCCCCAAAGCCTTTCCCCCCAAAGAGGCCCCCCAAGACCTGCCCCTGGAAGACAACTCCCCAAGATCTCCGTCTCGAAGGCTCCCCAAGACCTCCCCCTTCACAAGGGCCCCCCAAGACCTCTCCCCCACGAAGAGCCCCCTAAGACCTTTACCCTGGAAAAGGGCATTGAGCTCGGCAGGTGGGGAGGAGCTGTGTACTCAACATCATCCTGAGGGTCTGTTGTCCTCCTCCTTCCACCACCCCAGCCCCCAGATAAATCCAGAGGGTGTTTTAGAGCCAGACAGACACTCCTGGTATGCACCAGGCCCTCAGTGCAGCGCTCGCTGAGTGGAGAAGGAGGGAGTGGGTGAACCCGGCCGGCCAGGCTGCCCTGCACAGACTTCCAGCCTTGTCACCCCACTGGTTTTTTTGTTGTTGTTGTTGTTGAGACGGAGTCTCGCTCTGTCGCCCAGGCTGGAGTGCAGTGGCCGGATCTCAGCTCACTTCAAGCTCCCGGGTTTACGCCATTCTCCTGCCTCAGCCTCCCGAGTAGCTGGGGCGACAGGCGCCCGCCACCTCGCCCGGCTAGTTTTTTGTATTTTTTTAGTACAGACGGGGTTTCACCGGGTTAGCCAGGATGGTCTCGATCTCCTGACCTCGTGATCCGCCCGTCTCGGCCTCCCAAAGTGCTGGGATTACAGGCGTGAGCCACCGCGCCCGGCCACTGGTTTTTAAATCATCGCAGTCTTTGCGATGTTCTATGCATGCCACACAGAGACTCTCAGAGTCCAGAGGTGCTGCTTTTGCACAGTTACTCCAATGAATAAAAAGACGGGCTGGGCGCGGTGGTTCACGCCTGTCATCCCAGCACTTTGAGAGGCCTGAGGTCAGGAGTTCGAGACCAGCCTGGCCAACATGGTGAAACCCTGTCTCTACTGAAAATACAAAAAAATTAGCTGGGCGTGGTGGCGGGCGCCTGTAATTCCAGCTACTGGGGAGGCTGAGGCAGGAGAATCGCTTGAACCTGGGAGGCGGAGTTTGCACTGAGCCGAGATCGCGCCACCCGCACTCCAGCCTGGGCGACAGAGCAAGACTCCTCAAAAAAAAAAAAAAAAAAGTTCCAGCAGACACAGAAGGGAGAGTGAGAGGGAACAGGTCCCAGGGACCCTGTGTCTGGCTTCTGCTGAGGGTGTCCTGCAGGTTCCTTCCACCTGGGGGACGCCCTCCATGGACTCTTAGTTTAAGGGCACACATGGGCGTGGGGACAAGAACACAGGGAGGCCACGCCGGAGGTCCTGCTGCAATCACGTGGCCCCCCAGCCCACTCCCAACAGCCAAGACCACGCAGGGCCTGGGCTCCCGCTAGGTCAGACGCCTGTGGTTCTCTCCACCGAGGGGCCCCCCATGCCAGCCTTTTCCTGGGCAGAGTCCCAGAACCTTCTCGGACCCACGAACGTTTCAATCCGGGGTGGGGCCTTCCCTGGGCACCCAAGAGGTGGGAATCTGTCCCTGGCCCCTACCACTGGCGGGCTGGGCCTGCCTCTGTCTCCATCCTGTCCCGATTCCCCGTCCCCAGTGGCAGGGGCTGGAGAGGAAGGAGCTCCAGGCTTGAAAGCCATCAAAGCAGGTTGCTTTCGAGATGGCCAGTGGTCACCTGAGATGGAGCAGAGAGCAGCTGTGGAATCCGTCCGTGAACCCTGCAGAGGCCTTCGTGCCTTAAGACAGACGGCGTCCTGCAGGTACGTGGGGAAACCTTGCAGGCAGCCCAAGGTGACCGGGATGCTATCTGTCGCCCCAGCTCTGGGCCAGGCTGACGTGGGAAGGGAGGGAGGAGGGACAGCTCTGGGCCAGGCTGACTTGGGGAGGGAGGAAGGAGGGACAGCTCTGGGCCAGGCTGACATGGGAAGGGAGGGAGGAGGGAGTAGGAGGGACGGAGGGCTGGCCGCTTTCCAGGGCTGGGCTCTGTGGCATCGCCTGGCGGCTGTCCTGTCTGGCCCCACGCTGAGGCCAGTGTGATTGGAGGGGCCTGGAAGCCTCATCCTTCCTGCTTGCCAAGCGGTGAGGGCCACAGCCACGCACCACTGCTCTGGACTCCCCCTTTCATCATCAAAGTCGAATTTTCTTCCTGGTCCATCTAGGCCTGCCATGGAGACACCACGTGTGATCGTAAAAAAAAAAAAAAGTGCAGTTAGGCCGGGCGCGGTGGCTCACGCCTGCAATGCCAGCACTTTGGGAGGCCGAGGCGGGCGGATCACCTGAGGTCAGGAGTTCCAGACCAGCCTGGCCAACATGGTGAAACACGGTCTGTACCAAAAATACAAACATTAGGCGGGCGCGGTGGCGGGCGCCTGTAATCCAGCTACTGTGGGGAGGCTGAGGCAGGAGAATGGCTTGAACCCGGGAGGCGGAGGTTGCAGTGAGCCGAGATCGCGCCATTGCACTCCAGCCTGGGCGACAGAGCGAGATTCTGTCTCAAAAAAGAAAAAAAAAAAAAAACGGAGTCTGTCCAGAATCACACCCAGTCACGCGTGCCTGGTAACGTTCCCGCAGTCAACAACGGCCTTCGTAGACATCAGAAGTCCCAGGAGATGGTAATACTGTAGTTTTCCTGTGTCTTTATTTGTAGACATACAAACACCTACCGTTGTGTTATAGCAGCCTACGGCACTCGGCACACTCAGGTGAGTAGCAGGCCGGGAGCTTGGGGTCCTGCCACGCAGCCCAGGTGAGTAGCAGGCCGGGAGCCCGGGGCCCTGCCACACAGCCCAGGTGAGTAGCAGGCTGTGTGTGCCACGGCGGTATGTGTGAGCGCACCCCGTGATGTGCACACAAAGAGAATTGCCGAAGGACGCATTTCTCAAAACAGGTCCGTGTCGTTCAGTGACACGTATGACCGTATCTGTGTGTGTGTGTGTGTGCAGATGGGTGTGTATGTACGTATACACACCTGAACACACACACCTCTACACACATACCTGTATATGGATAGAACGTATCATTTACAGAATTTATAAAACACGTAATTTATGTTACATAAAATACATAGAAATCAGTTTTGTTTTCTTTTTTTTATTTGTTTAAGACGGAGTCTTGCTCTGTCGCCCAGGCTGGAGTGCAGTGGCACGATCTCGGCTCACCGCAACCTCTGCCTACTGGTTTCAAGCGATTCTCCTGCCTCAGCCTCCCCCCAGTAGCTGGGATTACAGGCACCCGCCACCTCGCCCGGCTGATTTTTTGTATTTTCTGAAGAGACAGGGTTTCACCATGTTGCCCAGGCTGGTCTCAAATTTCTGACCTCAGGTGATCCACCCGCCTCGGCCTCCCAAAGTGCTGGGATTACAAGCGTGAGCCACTGCACCCAGCCGATTTCAGCTGTTTTCTTTTTTCTTCTTTTTCTTTTCTTTTTTTTGAGATGGAGTTTCGCTCTCGTTGCCCAGGCTGGAGTACAATGGCACAATCGTGGCTCACCGCAATCTCCGCTTCCCAGGTTAAAGCGATTCTCCTGCCTCAGCCTCCCCCCAGTAGCTGGGATTACAGGCACCCGCCACCACGCCCGGCTGATTTTTGTTATTTTCTGTAGAGACGGGGTTTCACCATGTTGGCCAGGCTGGTCTCAAACTCCTGACCTCAAGTGATCTATCTTCCTCGGCCTGCCACAGTGCTGGGATGACAGGTGTGAGCCACTGCACCCAGCCTATTTCAGCTGTTTTCTTAAAGCACAAAGCAACCTACACATTCTTTTGTGATGCCAGGCAACAGTAAGGGTGCAGCAGCTTGTGACTTGGGTGTTGCGATCACGCGTGACCACTGCAGAAAAGCACACACCCACCTGTCCAGCGGGCACCTTGAAATAGGCCGCCCAGGAGGTGGAGGGTGCGGTGAGCCGAGATCGCACTATTGCACTCCAGTCTGGGCAGCAAGAGCGAAACTCCAGACTCCGTCTCAAAAAAAGGAAAACCGGCCGGGCGCGGTGGCTCAAGCCTGTCATCCCAGCACTGTGGGAGGCCGAGACGGGCGGATCACGAGGTCAGGAGATCGAGACCATCCTGGCTAACCCGGTGAAACCCCATCTCTACTAAAGAAAAAATACAAAAAACTAGCCGGGCGAGGTGGCGGCGCCTGTAGTCCCAGCTACTCGGGAGGCTGAGGCAGGAGAATGGTGTGAACCCGGGAGGCGGAGCTTGCAGTGAGCTGAGATCCGGCCACTGCACTCCAGCCTGGGCGACAGGGCGAGACTCTGTCTCAGAAAAAAAAAGGAAAACAGCTGAAATATCACACAGACGGACGCCCAGCCCGGGAACGGGAAAGCTGTGGGTGTGTCTGCCCTAAAAACATCACCTGGGTCTGCTCCGGTTCTCCCTGCTTTTCAGATCATGCCTGAACCTCGGTGCTCCTGGAGGTCAAGGCTGTGGTTTGAGGGGCTCCGCCCCAGCCCAGCCCCAGGTTGGCCCAGCTGTTCCCGGAGGGGCTAGGGAGGAAAGGGGGCTGTGTGGGCCCCACAGGGCCAACTGAGGTCTGAGGGTCGGGACACAGCCCGGCAGCAGGAACTGGGAGTGGAGCACGGGGGAAATGTGGATTCGCCGGGCTCCCTACAGCCGCAGTGACTGTGTGCCCAGGAGGTCCTCGCAGGGCAGGTGTGAGTCTGGCCTGCCTGGACTCGGGGAGGGGGTGTTTTACAGACGCATTTCAGCCCTGCAGGAGGGGCTGGGGAGGTCCCGCTCGTGACAGTCTCTACACCAAGACAGGAGACACGGAAGCTGCCCGGAGAACTGCCACTCTGTGGCCTGTGGGCGTCCGGGGGTGAGCGGCAGCGACGGTGTTCCCACAGAGGAGACACACTGGAAATCGTGGGGAAGGTGGGAAGATGCAGGCTGGGGTGCGGAGACGGACCAAGGCCCTGCCTGGTGGACGGCACCCTCGTAGCAGCCGTGAGAAAGCCCCGTCCCCACCACCCTCCCCGCGAGTCCCCACCGGCTACTCTGGAAGGCTGCTGGCTCCCAGGACGTCCGCCGGGCTGAACGGTCCTCCCTGCTGTCCCTCCGTCCCCTCCTCCCTGAATGCAGTCTTCATCTCCTCCAAAAATGCAACCTCCTTCTTCTTCTCCCCCAATGGAGCCTCCTTCCCCTCCTCCTCCCCAAATGCAGCCTCTGTACCCCCCTCCCTAAATGCAGCCTCCTCCCCCTCCTCCCTGAATGCAGCCTCCATCTCCTCCAAAAATGCAACCTCCTTCCTTTCCTCCCCCAGTGCAGCCTCCGTCCCCTCCTTCCCGAATGCAGCCTCCTTTTCCTCCTCTTCCCCAAATGCAGCCTCCATCCCCTCTCCCAAAATGCAGCCTCTGTCCCCCCTCCCCAAATGCAGCCTCCTTCCCCTCCTCCCCAAATGCAGCCTCATCCCCTCCTTCCCAAATGCAGCCTCCTTCCCCTCCTCCCCAAATGCAGCCTCCTTCCCCTCTCCCAAATGCAGCCTCCTGTCCCCCCTCCCCAAATGCAGCCTCCTTCCCCTCCTCCCCAAATGCAGCCTCCTTCCTTCCCTCCTCCTTCCCCAAATGCAGCCTCCTTCCCCTCCTCCCCAAATGCAGCCTCATCCCCTCTCCCCAAAATGCAGCCTCTGTCCCCCCCCTCCCCAAATGCAGCCTCCTTCCCCTCCTCCCCGAATGCAGCCTCCTTCCCCTCCTCCCCGAATGCAGCCTCCTTCCCCTCCTCCTCAGATGCAGCCTCCATCCCCTCCTCCCCAAATGCAGCCTCCATCCCCTCCTCCCCAAATGCAGCCTCCATCCCCTCCTCCCCAAATGCAGCCTCCATCCCCTCCTCCCCAATGCCCTCCTCCCCCCCCAAATGCAGCCTCCTTCCCCTCCTCCTCAGATGCAGCCTCCATCCCCTCTCCCAAAATGCAGCCTCCATCCCCTCCTCCCCAAATGCAGCCTCCTTCTCCTCCTCCTCCTCAGATGCAGCCTCCATCCCCTCTCCCAAAATGCAGCCTCCATCCCCTCCTCCCCAAATGCAGCCTCCATCCCCTCCTCCCCAAATGCAGCCTCCATCCCCTCCTCCCCAAATGCAGCCTCCTTCCCCTCCTCCCCAAATGCAGCCTCCATCCCCTCTCCCAAAATGCAGCCTCTGTCCCCCCTCCCCAAATGCAGCCTCCTTCCCCTCCTCCCCGAATGCAGCCTCCTTCCCCTCCCCAAATGCAGCCTCCTTCCCCTCCTCCCCAAATGCAGCCTCCTTCCCCTCCTCCTCAGATGCAGCCTCCATCCCCTCCTCCCCAAATGCAGCCTCCATCCCCTCCTCCCCAAATGCAGCCTCCTTCCCCTCCTCCCCAAATGCTGCCTCCATCCCCTCCTCCCCAAATGCACCCTCTGTCCCCTCCTCCCCAAATGCACCCTCTGTCCCCTTCTCCCCAAATGCAGCCTCTTCCCTCATCAAGAACTCTCACAGAGGAGCCATGGACAGACTTTTGCTTTCTTTATTCAGCCACGACTGCACGCTCCTATGTGACTGTCCTATGTACTTGGGGACCAGGCGGTCCACCTGCAGCCTGGGGGAGGACGTCCCTATAATGAACACGCTGCCTGGGCTTCAGGGGGCCACTCTGGTGGCCAACATGGCATCCAGGACACCCTCCAAGTGCACCACCTGCACCTGGTGGAAGCCGTGCAGCTCCAGCAAGCACTGGTACTCGCCTCTGCTCCGCTCCCTGCCCTCAGTCTGCACCAGCATGTTCAGCGACTGTATCAGGCCACCCTGCGCCTCCCTCTTCTCCTCATCCAGGAGCGTCTCCACCAGCAGCAGGCCGGCCCCTGGGGGGGGAGAGCAGAGAGCCGGAGTCCTGGCCAGCCAGGCGGGGATCCTTCAGGGGGACACAGCGGGCAGTGGGAGCTCAGAGCTGTGAGCAGAGGCTGCCGAGAACCCTTACACAGGGAGGGGAGGGCAGTGAGACACAGACGATGCAGGGCGGACAGACGGGGAGAAGGAGATGAGATCGAAACATGGGTGGATAGATGGGTGCATCACCTGGGTCCGTTCCAGTTCTCCTGGATGGATGGGTGAACAGATGGTAGATGATGGGTAGGTAGATGAATGGATGGATAGATGGTTGCATGGATGAGATGGATGGATGGGTGAATAGATGGTAGATGATGGGCAGATGGATAGATGGTTGCATGGATGAGATGGATGGATGGGTGAATAGATGGTAGATGATGGGTAGGTAGGTAGGTAGATGGATGGATAGATGAATGCATGGATGAGATGGATGGATGGGTGAATAGATGGTAGATGATGGGCAGATGGATAGATGCATGGATGAGATGGATGGATGGGTGAATAGATGGTAGATGATGGGCAGATGGATGGAATGATAGATGCATGGATGAGATGGATGGATGGGTGGATAGATGGTAGATGATGGGCAGATAGATGAACGGATGGATGGATGCATGGATGAGATGGATGGATGGGTGAATAGATGGTAGATGATGGGCAGATGGATAGATGCATGGATGAGATGGATGGATGGGTGAATAGATGGTAGATGATGGGCAGATGGATAGATGCATGGATGAGATGGATGGATGGGTGAATAGATGGTAGATGATGGGCAGATGGATGGATGGATGGATGCATAGATGAGATGGATGGATGGGTGAATAGATGGTAGGTGATGGGCAGATAGATGAACGGATGGATGGATGCATAGATGGATGGATGGGTGAATAGATGGTAGATGATGGGCAGATGGATGGATGGATGGATGCATGGATGAGATGGACGGATGGGTGAACAGATGGTAGATGATGGGCAGATGGATAGATGCATGGATGAGATGGATGGATGGGTGGATAGATGGTAGATGATGGGCAGATAGATGGATGGATGGATGCATGGATGAGATGGATGGATGGGTGAATAGATGGTAGATGATGGGCAGATAGATGAATGGATGGATGGATGCATAGATGAGATGGATGGATGGGTGAATAGATGGTAGATGATGGGCAGATAGATGAATGGATGGATGGATGCATGGATGAGATGGACGGATGGGTGAACAGATGGTAGATGATGGGCAGATGGATGGATGGATGCATGGATGAGATGGATGGATGGGTGAACAGATGATAGATGATGGGCAGATGAATGGGTGGATGGATGCATGGATGAGATGGATGGATGGGTGAACAGATGGTACATGATGGGCAGATGAATGGGTGGATGGATGCATGGATGAGATGGATGGATGGGTGAACAGATGGTAGATGATGGGCAGATAGATGAATGGATGGATAGTTGGATGCATGGATGAGATGGATGGATAGACGAACAGATGGTAGATGGGCAGATGGATGGATGGATGCATGCATGGATGAGATGGATGGATAGATGAATAGATGGTAGATGATGGGTAGGTAGATGAATGGATGGATAGATGGATGCATGGATGAGATGGATGGATGAACAGATGGTAGATGATGGGTAGGTAGATGAATGGATGGATAGATGGATGCATGGATGAGATGGATGGATAGATGAATAGATGGTAGATGATGGGCAAATAGATGAATGGATAGATGGATGCATGGATGAGATGGATGGATAGATGAATAGATGGTAGATGATCGGTAGGTAGATGAATGGATGGATGGATAGATAGATAATAAATGATAGACAGATGACACATAGCTGACGGATCACTGTTAGAAGTCCAGGTGCAGTGGCTCACACCTGTAATCCCAGCACTTTGGGAGGCTGAGGTGGGAGGATGGTTTGAGCCCAGGAATTTCAAACCAACTCGAGCAACATAGTGAGATCTGGTGTCTATTTTATTTTATTTTTTAAAAAGGATTTTTTTTTTAAAAGGATGATGGTAGAAGTATAAAAAGAGACAGAGGCAGGGTGAGGAGAGGGAGGAGGAGACAGAAGACAGATAAGGAAGGAAGGGAGAAAAGAGGAGAGAGGAGAAACAGACTGATGATAGATGAGATACATAAAAAGTCACAGAGAGGAGAAGACAGAGAGGAAGAGGGAGAGAAAGAGAGACAGAGGCCAGGTGCAGTGGCTTGAGCATCTTTTAACCCCAGCATTTGGGGAGGCCAAGGCAGGAGGATCGCTTGAGCCCAGGAGTTTGGGAGTAGCCTGGGCAACATAGCAAGATCCCATTTCTACAAAAAAAATTTTAAAAAAGTAGCAGGGCATGGTAATATACGCCTGTACTCCCAGGTACTGGGGAGGCTGAGGAGGGAAGATTGCTTCAGCACAGGAGGTCAAGGCTGCAGTGAACTATGATGACACCATTGCCCATCAGCCTGGGTGACAGAGACTCCCATCTCCACAGAAAACTTTTTGGTTATTTTTTTTTGAGACTCTCGCTCTGTCGCCCAGGCTGGAGTGCAGTGGCGTGATCTCGGCTCACTGCAACCTCCACCTTCTGGGTTCAAGCGATTCTCCTGCCTCAGCCTCCTGAGTAGCTGGGTGTATAGACGCCTGCCACCATGCCTGGCTAAGTTTTGTGTTTTTAGTAGAGATGGAGTTTCACCCTATTGCTCAGGCTGGTCTCAAACTCCTGACCTCGTAGCCTGCTGGCTTCGGCCTCCCAAGGTGCTGGGATGACAGGTGTGAGCCATGGCGCCCGGCCTCACAAAAGAAAACTTTTAAAAAAAATTAGCTGGGCATGGTGATGCATGCGTGTACTCACAGCTACTCGGGAGGCTAAGGTGGGAGGATAGCTTGAGCCTAGGAGGTCAAGGCTGCAGTTTGCTGTGACTGCACCACTGCACACCAGCCTGGGCAGCAAAATGAGACCTCGTCTCAAAAAATACATATATATAAAGAGAGCCGGGCGCGGTGGCTCACGCCTGTAATCCCAGGACTTTGGGAGTCCCAGGTGAGTGGATCACCTGTTGGGAGTTCAAGACCAGCCTGACCAACATGGTAAAACCCCGTCTCTATTAAAAATGCAAAATTAGCCGGGCGTGGTGGTGCGTGCCTACTCGGGAGGCTGAGGCAGGAGAATGGCGTGAACCCGGGAGGCGCAGCTTGCAGTGGGCTGAGATCCGGCCACTGCACTCCAGCCTGGGTGACAGAGCGAGACTCCGTCTCAAAAAAAAAAAAAAAAGATACACAGAGAAAGACAGGGAGAAAGAGGGAGAGGGAGAGAGAAAAGGATGGAAGTCTCTCGACCAGCTGAACCTATGGAGTCCTGGCTGGCTCTGTTAAGGTAATTAAGTGTTCTCTGCAAATATTCTAGGAATTCTCACTGCAGCAGCAACTTTGAACTCTGAGGGAGCCTGAACGCCCACCAGATTCCCTCAGGGCCATGTCCTTCCATTGTGGAAATCCGATACCCCTGGAGCCTGGGGTTCCAGCAGCCCCACCCGGCTCCAGAGCAGGCTGGGGGGACGGGAGAAACCTGATACGAAGGCTTTGAGCCGAGAGGGTGCGTGGTGTGTGTGTGTGTGTCGGGAGAAATCTGATACGAAGGCTTTGAGCCGAGAGGGTGCGTGGTGTGTGTGTGTGTGTGTGTGTGTGTGTGTGTGTGTGTCGGGAGAAATCTGATACGAAGGCTTTGAGCCGAGAGGGTGCGTGGTGTGTGTGTGTGTGTGTGTGTGTGTGTGTGGTGTGGTGGTGGTGTGGTGGTGGTGGTGTGTGTGGTGTGGTGTGTGACGCGACACCTGTGTTTTTTTTTTTTTTTTTTTTTTTGTGGCCTGGTGTATAAACACACAGGTTCGATCCAGCTGAGCCTTGAGCAACACGGCTCTAAACTGCCCTCACTCACGGATTTCCCTCTGCCTCGGCCACCCCTGAGACAGCAAGAGCAGCCCACGGCTTCCTCCTCCTCTGTAGCCTCCTCAGTGTGAAGACAACAAGAATGAAGACCTTTAGGATGAGCCACTTCAACTTCATAATGGTAAATATATTTTCTCTTTAGGATTTTTTTTTTTTTGAGATGGAGTCTCGCTCTGTTGCCCAGGCTGGAGTGCAGTGGCACCGTCTCGGCTCACTGCAACCTCCGTCTCCAGGTTCCAGCGATTCTCCTGCCTCAGCCTCCCGAGTAGCTGGGATTACAGGTGCCTGCTATCATGCCCGGCTAATTTTTTGTGTTTTTAGTAGAGACGGGGTTTCACCATGTTGGCCAGGCTGGCCTCAAACCCCCGACCTCAGGTGATCTGCCCACCTTGGCCTCCCTAAGTGCAGGCATGATAGGTGTGAGTCACTGCACCTGACCACATTGGCCAACTTTAAATACAGCGGATTTATCCTCCACAATGTCGCGGGCCTCTCATCCAGACGCTGGACTTGCCAACCTCCAAAAATCACATAAGCCAGTTCTTTTTTTGCTGTTCTTTTTTTGATACAGAATCTCACTCTGTCACCCAGGCTAGAGTGTAGTGGCGCAATCTCGGCTCACTGCAATCTCCCACCTCCTGGGTTCAAGCGATTCTCCTGCCTCAGCCTCCTAAGGACCCGGGATTACAGGCGCCCGCCACCACGCCTGCCTAAGTTTTGTATTTTCAGTAGAGACGGGGTTTCACTATGTTGGCCAGGTGGGTCTCGAACTCCTGACCTCAGGTGATCCGCCTGCCTCAGCCTCCCAAAGTGCTGGGATGACAGGCGCCTGCCACCTCGCCCGGCTAGTTTTTTGTATTTTTTAGTAGAGACGGGGTTTCACCGTGTTAGCCAGGATGGTCTCGATCTCCTGACCTTGTGATCCGCCCGTCTCGGCCTCCCAAAGTGCTGGGATTACAGGCTTGAGCCACCGCGCCCAGCCTAATTTTTGTATTTTTAGTAGAGACGGGGTTTCACCATGTTGGCCAGGCGGGTCTTGAACTCCTGACCTCAGGTGATCCACCTGCCTCGGCCTCCCAAAGTGCTGGGATGACAGGTGTGAGCCACCGCGCCCGGCCTCCTTGTAAAACTTGAACCGAAAACTACGTCTTAACAAAAAGAGTGAACGTGACGACGGGCTCTCACCAGGCTTGCAGCTCTCGGCGACCTTGCTGAGTAACTTGTGGACTTTGTCGTCTGACCAGTTGTGCAGGATCCGGCACAGGACATATAGCTCAGCGCTGGGGAGGGGGTCCCTGAAAAAATCACCTGGTTTAAAGACAAAAGGCGACACGTCCGTCAGGTATGGGAGAAGCAGTCCTCCCCGGACAGATCCTCGGACGGCCACCCACATCCTAAATCAGGGATGGAGAAGAGAGGGGTGTGGGCAGGAATGAGTATATCCCCATGGGTACTCGAACAGAGGAGCTGGTTAGCGATGCCACGGGCGTGCGGTTAGACTCCGGCCGAGAAAAGGCCGGGCACGGCGGCTCACACCTGTAATCTCAGCAGTTTCGGAGCCTGAGGTAGGCAGATTGAGCTCAGGAGTTCGAGACCAGCCTGAGCAGCATGGCGAAGCCGTAGCTCTACTAAAAATACAAATTAGCTGGACGGGGGTAGTGGGTGCCTGTAATTCCAGCTACTCGGGAGGCTGAGGCAGGAGAATCGCTTGAACCCGGGAGGCGGAGGCTGCAGTGAGCTGAGATCACGCCAGTGCACTCCAGCCCGGCTGACAAAAAAAAAAAAAAAAAAAAGGCAAGGGAGGAAAAAAGGAAATTCAGAGGCACCACCTGCGCAAGGCAGGCAGAGTCAGCGCAAATGGGTGTCTCTCTCAGCCAGGGAGCGTCGGGGCCGCACTGCTAGGGAGTGGGCAACAGCGGGGCCTTCCCTGGCGATCCCAATTCAGGCACCCCGGAAGGGTTGCCCGCAGGGGGGTGCGTGTAGCGGCACGCCCCTCTATGATTGCTGAAATTAAAAGATGGTCTGCTGGAGTGCGGTGAATGGCGTCCCCTTAAAAGATACATTCAGGTGCCGACTCTCGGTCACTGGGAATGGGAACTTATCTGGAAATAGGGTCTCTCTGGATGTCATTGAGTGCAGAATTTCAAGACGCAATCATCCTGGAATAGGGTGTCCCCTAAATGCAATGACAGGTGTTCTTCTAAGAGACAGAAGAGGAGACACAGACACAGAGGAGGCGGCCACGTGGAGACAGAGGCAGAGATTGGAGTGATGGGGCCACAAGCCCGGGGACACCTGGAGCCCCCAGGAGGTGGGAGAGGCAGGAAGGAGCCTCCCAGCCCTGAGATGTCTTGATCTCAGACTCTGGTCTCCAGGACTGAGAGAGGATAAATTCCTGTGGTTTTGGAAGTTGTGAGGCCCCCGCTTGGGCTAGTTTGTTCCAGTCACCCCGGGAAGCCCCGTAGCTACCGTGTGCTGGTGTGCACCTGCGGATGGTCACAGAAGTGTTTGTATTGACTGATGGCTAACCCTGCTGTGTCCAGCAAATATGAACCACAGCCAAGCAAGCAAGCAAGCTGCGAGTTGCATGAGGGGAAAGAAGGGGCGGGAGGGTGTGTGGTGGGAAGTCTGAGCTGCTTTCCCCCAGCTCTGAGGAGAAGGTGCTCTTTCAGGGCTCATGATTTTAAACTTTAGCATTTCCGGCCGGGCGGGGTGTAATCCCAGCACTTTGGGAGGCCGAGGCAGGCAGATCACCTGAGATCAGGAGTTCGAGACCAGCCTGGTCAACACGGTAAAACCCCGTCTCCACCAAAATGACAAAAAATTAGCCGGGCGAGGTGGCGGCGCCTGTAGTCCCAGCTACTGGGGAGGCTGAGGCAGGAGAATGGCGTGAACCCGGGAGGCGGAGCTTGCAGTGAGCTGAGATCCGGACACTGTACTCCAGCCTGGGCCACAGAGCGAGTCTCCGTCTCAGAAAAAAAAAAAAGTATCCAGAAACCTCCAGTGGAGGGGCATGGAGGTCCCCAGCACCTGTGCCTGCAGGCCTGGCGGCTGTAGGATGGTACTGAATTACGGCATGTCAGGTGTCTCGTTTTTTTTTTTTCTTTTTTGAGATGGAGTTTCGCTCTGTTGCCCAGACTGGAGTGCAGTGGCGCGATCTCGGCTCACTGCAACCTCCGCCTCCCCCCAGGTTCAAGCGATTCTCCTGCCTCAGCCTCCCGAGTAGCTGGGACTACAGGCGCCCGCCACCTCGCCCGGCTGGTTTTTGTATTATTAGTAGAGACGGGGTTTCACCATGTTGGTCAGGCTGGTCTCGAACTCCTGACCTCAGGTGATCCTCCCGCCTCGGCCTCTCTAAAGTGCTGGGATGACAGGTGTGAGCCAGCGCACCCGGTCTCATCCACCTGTTTGGAGATGCCCTCGTGTCTCTCTGGACCCACACCGCACCACCCACGACGCAGACCACGGCACAGGCACACCCACGGACGCAGACACACAGGCACGCACACATACACCCATCCAAATGCACAGACGTACAGTCCTGCAGACACAAAGGCACACATGCAAGCACACACCAGAAAGACATGCACACACACACACAAGCATGGACATACAGAGATACACTGACAGGCCCACACAGACACACTCAGACGCAGACACATGCACAGATGGGCACACAGACACACACACACACAGATGCAGACACATGCACAGATGGGCACGGAGACACAGACACAGCGACAGGCACACGCACACGGACGCAGACACATGCACAGATGGGCACACACACACAGACACAGATACACGACAGGACACACAACAATCAGACACACACACAGACGACCACAGAAACACATACCCTCACAGACACGTATGCAAGCACACACCACAGACAGTTGCACACACACAGATGCAGACGCAGACACACAGACATTCTCATGCACAGACATGCACGCAAGGACATACCACACACATACATGCACACACAGACACACATGCACACACTGATGTACAAGCACAGCAGTGACATGCACAGACGCACAGACGGGCACACAGAGACGCACACACACAGACATGCACACATATGCCCACACAGACACGCAGACACATACACGTACCCTCAGAGACACACACACCACAGAGACGTGCACACACACGTGGACACACACGGTCTCACGCACACACACAAGGACATACTACACACACACAGAGACAGACACGCACACAAGCACAGCAGACACATATGCACACAGACACCGACACACACCATGCACACAGACGGAGACACACAGACATGCACACACATATGCACACGGAGACACACACACACACAGCCACAGCAGTCACATATGCACACAGACACCCACCGGCACCAGCATGCACACACACACAGCATGCACACAGACACCCAGCACACAGCATGCACACCACAACAACATGCACACACAGATACCCACCAGCACACAGGCACACACACACACAGACATGCACACACAGACACCCACCAGCACGCAGCATGCACACACACACACAGACATGCACACACAGACACCCACCGGCACGCAGCATGCACACACACACACACACAGACATGCACACACAGACACCCACCAGCACACAGCATGCACACACACACACACAGACATGCACACACAGACACCCACCAGCACGCAGCTACACACGCACACACAGACAACACACAACCCACCAGCACGCAGCATGCACACACGCACCACAACGCACACACAGACACCCACCAGCACGCAGCATGCACACACACACACAGACATGCACACACAGACACCCACCAGCACGCAGCATGCGCACACACACACAGACATGCACACACAGACACCCACCAGCACGCAGCATGCACACAGACGCAGACACAGATGGGCACAGACGCACACACAGACATGCACACCTATATCCACACAGGCGCACACACACACCCTCACAGAAACATATGCAACCACACACCACAGAGACGTGCACACACACGCAGACACAGACACACACAGTCTCACGCACAGACACACACACAGGGACATACCACACAGAGACATGCACACACAAGCACAGCAGTCACATATGCACACAGATACCCACAGACACACACCATGCACACACAGACATGCACACACACAACCACAGCAGTCACATATGCACATAGACACCCACCGGCACACAGCATGCACACAGACCCACACACAGACATGCACACCTATATCCACACAGGTGCACACACATACCCTCACAGAAACATATGCAACCACACACCACAGAGACGTGCACACACACGCAGACACAGACACACACAGTCTCACGCACAGACACACACGGACCTACCACACACAGACACAGAAACACACAGACACAGAAACAGAGAGACACACACACAAGCACAGCAGTCACATATGCACACAGATACCCACAGACACCATGCACACAGACGCAGACACACACACAGACATGCACACACAGACACATGCACACGGAGACACAGACACCCACCGGCACACAGCATGCACACAGATGCAGACACAGACGGGCACACAGAGATGCACACACAGACATGCACACCTATATCCACACAGGTGCACACACACACCCTCACAGAAACATATGCAACCACACACCACAGAGACGTGCACACACACGCAGACACAGACACAGAGATGGTCTCACGCACACACACACACACACACACAGACATACCACACACACACACAGAGACACAGACACACAAGCACAGCCATCACATATGCACACAGACACCCACAGACACACCATGCACACCGATGCAGACACACAGACATGCCCACAGACACGCACATGCACACACAACCCCAGCAGTCATATATACAAACAGACACCCATCGGCACACAACATGCACACAGAGGCAGACACACAGACACACACACAACCTCTCACAGAAACATATGCAACCACACACCAGAGACGTACACACACACGTGCGGATGCAGACACACACGCACACACACGTTCTCACGCACAGACACGCCCAAGGGCATACCACACACACATGCAGACAGATGCACACACACACGCACAGCACACAGTCATGTATGCACACAGACACCCACCATAGAAGCGCCCACGCAGAAACACGGGTACACGCACAGCCACGCACTCTGTCTGGAAAGAGATGACGGAGCCTGGAAAACGTTGGCAGGGCGAACGCGAGGAAGGCTCACCTGCTGCGAAGTGGATCTGCGCCGCCTGTGGTCCGGCGGGCTGGAAGTGGACGGCCAGCTCGACGACGTCCGGGAGGTCAAACACAGTCACCTGGAGACGAGGGTACTCGCGGGCCAGCTCTCGGGCCAGTGCACCTGTGCAGCCTGCGGGGAAGCAAATACACGCTCTGCGGCCAGGTCGTCCTGGTGCCTACGGAACGCTGACGACTCTAACAAGCTCAACCGGGGCAGAAGTCATGTTCGAGGGCATGGCACTGAGACCCATGCTGGAAGGGAAAGCCAGTGGTGGGGAGTTCGCTGGGGTCCCAGACAAGACTGTGCAAGCAGGTGAGTGCGGGGGCACAGACCTGCAGGGAAATCCTTCCAGCCCAGAGGTGGGGGCTGTACTCCTCCCTTCTCCTTCCTGCCGTGGGGATGTATAAACGATGGTCGGTGCAACAGCAGCCACTCTGGGCCACGTGTGGGGGCACAGACCTGCAGGGAAATCCTTCCAGCCCAGGGGTGTACTCTGTACTCCTCCCTTCTCCTTCCTGCCGTGGGGATGTATACACAATGGCCGGTGCTACAGCAGCCACTCTGGGCCACGTGTGGGGGCACAGACCTGCAGGGAAATCCTTCCAGCCCAGGGGTGTACTCTGTACTCCTCCCTTCTCCTTCCTGCCGTGGGGATGTATACACGATGGCCGGTGCTACAGCAGCCACTCTGGGCCACGCGTGAGGGCACAGACCTGCAGGGAAATCCTTCCAGCCCAGGGGTGTACTCTGTACTCCTCCCTTCTCCTTCCTGCCGTGGGGATGTATACACAATGGCCGGTGCTACAGCAGCCACTCTGGGCCACGTGTGGGGCACAGACCTGCAGGGAAATCCTTCCAGCCCAGGGGTGTACTCTGTACTCCTCCCTTCTCCTTCCTGCCGTGGGATGTATAACGATGGTCGGTGCAACAGCAGCCACTCTGGCCACGTGTGGGGCACAGACCTGCAGGGAAATCCTTCCAGCCCAGGGTGTACTCTGTACTCCTCCCTTCTCCTTCCTGCCGTGGGGATGTATACACAATGGCCGGTGCTACAGCAGCCACTCTGGGCCACGTGTGGGGGCACAGACCTGCAGGGAAATCCAGCCCAGGGGTGTACTCTGTACTCCTCCCTTCTCCTTCCTGCCGTGGGGATGTATACACGATGGCCGGTGCTACAGCAGCCACTCTGGGCCACGCGTGAGGGCACAGACCTGCAGGGAAATCCTTCCAGCCCAGGGGTGTACTCTGTACTCCTCCCTTCTCCTTCCTGCCGTGGGGATGTATACACAATGGCCGGTGCTACAGCAGCCACTCTGGGCCACGTGTGGGGGCACAGACCTGCAGGGAAATCCTTCCAGCCCAGGGGTGTACTCTGTACTCCTCCCTTCTCCTTCCTGCCGTGGGGATGTATACACAATGGCCGGTGCTACAGCAGCCACTCTGGGCCACGTGTGGGGGCACAGACCTGCAGGGAAATCCTTCCAGCCCAGGGGTGTACTCTGTACTCCTCCCTTCTCCTTCCTGCCGTGGGGATGTATACACAATGGCCGGTGCTACAGCAGCCACTCTGGGCCACGTGTGGGGGCACAGACCTGCAGGGAAATCCTTCCAGCCCAGAAGTGGGGGCTGTACTCCTCTCTTCTCCTTCCTGCCACAGGGATATAGATACAATGGCCGGTGCTACAGCAGCCACTCTGGGCCACGTGTGGAGGCACAGACCTGCAGGGAAATCCTTCCAGCCCAGAGGTGGGGGCTGTACTTCTCCCTTCTCCTTCCTGCCATGGGGATATAGACACAATGGCTGGTGCTACAGCAGCCACTCTGGACCACAAGGAGGAGAGGCATTCCGAGGTTGGGGAAATGTAAGCGGATGGTGTGAGAATCATCCCAGGCCCCTGATCCCCCAGCACCCCTTGGGAACGTGTCTACTGCTCCACCCACTGTCCAGGGCTGGGGTGGGGTGGAGGGTGAGTCAGGATATAATCAGACTTGCTGAGGGGAAGCCAACGGCTCCAAGGTGCTCTGCCTCAGCTCCGCGGCCAACAGAGAGGGCCCCAGAGTCTGTAGGGGGACTCCTGGAATGTGGGAATATCCACCCACCATCTGGGACTCAGCCTGGCCCAGTTCAGGTCGTCGTCAGGTTTCTCAGTGGAAAAAGGCAGTTTGCAGGTGTCCTGAGCAGGGAAGATGCCCGCGGCTTAATCAACGAAAGGAAGGAGAGCCCTGGAGGGGTTGGGGGGGGGGGGGCTACCCACCTCCCACGTCGCAGGCAGAGGAGAAGCGGGACAGATCGAAGGCCGTGGCCACCTGGCGCGCAGTCAGCTTTGCCACGCCGTGCATGGCCTGCATGAACCGCAGTTGCGTCTCCGGGCTCCGGTAGTACGCGTCCTGGAACACAGCGGGGGCTCAGGGGCGCCAGGGAGCACGGGCCGAGGGTCCGCCCAGCCTCTCCCCGGGGGTCCGGGGGTCGAAGCGCAGGGCTCCAGGGCGTGGGGGCTCAGCCAGGCCTGGGCTGCAGAGGAGACTTCCCACCACAGCTGTGTTGGGCGCCCCTGTCTCTGTGGGGGCTGGGCTGGCTGGGGACGGAGGACCCCAAAGTGGTGGGCCGTCTCCTTGGAATCACTTGGTCCGCATCACAGCCTGAACTCCAAGCGTCTGAGTTTCCCAATAGGCTTTTCACAATCAAGCTTTTCACCCTGGAGGGTGCTCGTGCTTCACCACGCCGGTGCGGTGTGGCAGAGGGGGCTCCTCCGAGAATTCCGGTGTGCAGAGGAGAAGCTCCACTCCGAGCTTCCCCCACGTCCCCCCCGGTGGCACCTACCCCGGGTCCCGGAGGAGCCCAGGCCCATCCTGGCTCGGGGCTGCGTCCGGGGTTTGCCCGGACATCCCCTGTCCCCGCCAGGGCATGCAAACCCTGCTGAGGCTGCTTCTGAGCCCGACTCCCCGCGGGACGGCCCCGCTCCATCCTGGCTCCCTAAATCCCACGGGGGCTCCCGGCCCTCCCCTGCGCGGGTGGCAATGATGGGGCTTAGGGATGTGTCCTCTGCGATGCCCAGGCCAGCTGCTCACGCCGGCTCGGGGCCCCTGGCCACGCCTCTCGGTTTCTCTCTCCGCCACTGGCTTTTGTCTCTCTCCGACTGTGTCTCCCTTGGTCTCCGTCTGTCTGTCTCTGTTTGTCTCCCTCGGTGCGTCTCTGTCTTCCTCTTTCTCTCTCTCTGTCTCTGTCTCCTTCTGTCTGTCTCTGTCTTTCTATCTCCCTCCGCCTCTGTCTCCCTCTATCTGTGTCTCCTGTTTCTGTCTCTATCTGCCTCTATCTCTGTCTCTCCAAGGCTCCCTGTCCTGTGTCCCTACCTCGCTGTGTCTCTCTGTCTCTCATCTCCCTCTGTGTCTCTGTCTGTCTCTTACTCTGTCTCCCTCTTTGTTTCTGTCTCCCTGTCTGTCTCCCTCGATCTGTCTGCTGTCTCTCTCTCCCTGTCTTTGTCTCTCTGTCTCCCTCTGTCTCTGTCTGCCTGTGTCTCTCTCTGTGTCTCCCTCTGTCTCTCTGTCTTTGTCTCCCTCTATCTGTGTCTCTGTCTTCCTATCTCACTGTCTCCCGTCTCCCTCTATCTCTGTCTCTGTCTCTCTCAGTCTCCCTGTCTCTGTCTCCCTCTATCTCCCTGTCTCTGTCTCCCTCTGTCTCTGTCTGCCTGTCTCTCTCTCTGTGTCTCCCTCTGTCTCTCTGTCTTTGTCTCCCTCTATCTGTGTCACTGTCTCTCTCTCTGTCTCCCGTCTCCCTCTATCTCTGTCTCTGTCTGTCTCTCAGTCTCCCTGTCTCTGTCTCCCTCTATCTCCCTGTCTCTGTCTCCCTGTCTCTCTCTCTGTGTCTCCCTCTATCTGTCTGTGTCTCTCCCTGACATCGGAACGAAGCCCCAGGCTCCCTGGGGTCCATCTCTGCAGCACACACACACGCTCTCTGACTGGGCGCTCGGTGCCATAGGGACGGAGGTTGCCGAGGAGGAATGAGGCCGTGGCCGGCCGAGCCCACAGCAGACTCCCCACGCCCGTCTGGTGCAGCCCTGCAGACCGAGACCCCCTCGCCGCCCGCAGAGGCCCCACGGACCCCACAACGTCTCGCGCGTCCACCTCAGAGAGGTTCTGGGCGGGGAAAGGGGAAGGAGGGGTGAGAGGATGCAGCCAGCGCTTTGCAAACGGCGGTCTCGGATAAGCAAGTGTCGATTCCGTTGAAGCAAAAAACAAAACAAAAGAAAACAAAAAAAACCCAGGGCATTCATTTGACGCAGGCTGTCCCGCTCCTTCCTGTGTTGCTGCTTTTGAGACAGAGCCTTGTTCTGTCGCCCGGGCTGGAGTGCGGCAGCACGGCTCACACGGCAGCCTCGACTCCCGGGTTCGAGGGACCCTCCCACCCACCTCGGCCTCCCGAAGTAGCTGGGATTACAGGCTCATGCCACCGTGCGCAGCCTAATCGTTAATTTTTTTTTTTTTTTTGCAGAGATGGGGTCTCACTATGTTGCCCAGGCTGGTCTCAAACTCCTGGGCTCAAATCATCCTCCCGACTCGGCCTCCCAAAGTGCTGGGATGACAGGTGCGAGCCCCTGTGCGTGGCCTTCAGACCCGTTTCTAGCAGGGAATTCTATGTTCATCGGCTGCTGGATAACGGTGGAGGAGGGTCTACCTTGCACCTGTTCCCGGGCTGAGGGACGCAAAGGCCACGGCACTAAGGTCTCCGGGCGGAACGAGCCGAGCCTTTGGGATCCGTCAGACCGGAGACAGATGGCTCAAGGTGCCTGGTGAGCTGGGTGCCAAAGTGCTTTAGCAAAATGCACGCTAGGTGGAAAAAGGTGTGTGCGGGGCTGTTACGCTATACCTGGAATAGATCTTCCACCTTCTTCCCCAGCACCCTGTGGTGCTGGTTTCTCCCCTCTCGGATGGCAAACTCCAGGTACGTGAAGAGGTTCCAGATGACGTCGTCGTTTTGCAACATGAAGCCGTGCAGAGAGTACTCACTGTCCGACGCCAGGTAAAGGTTGGCTGTCTCCGTGTTACTGTAACCTGAAGAAACGGGGACGGTCCTGTGACCTCCTAACGAGGAAACCCAAGGAAACCTGACCGTAGGGGACGCATCACTGAGATGTTACGATCAGCATCGTCGGCCGGGTGCGGTGGCTCACGCCTGTCATCCCAGCGCTTTGGGAGGCCGAGGCGGGTAGACCACGAGGTCGGGAGATCGAGACCATCCTGGCGAACACGGTGAAACCCCGTCTCTACTAAAAATACAAAAAAATTAGCCGGGTGTGGTGACGGGCATCTGTGGTCCCAGCTCCTCGGGAGGCTGAGGCAGGAGAATGGCTTGAACCTGGGAGATAGAGGTTGCAGTGAGCCGAGATCATGCCACTGAAATTCCAGCCTGGGTGACAGAGCGAGACACCATCTCAAAAACAACAACAACGGCCGGGCGCGGTGGCTCACGCCTGTAATCCCAGCACTTTGGGAGGCGGAGGCGGGCGGATCACGAGGTCAGGAGATCGACACCATCCTGGCTAACACCGTGAAACCCCGTCTCTACTGAAAATACAAAAAATCAGCCGGGCGAGGTGGCGGGCGCCTGTAGTCCCAGCTACTCGGGAGGCTGAGGCCGGAGAATGGCGTGAACCCAGGAGGCGGAGCTTGCAGTGAGCCGAGATCGCGCCACAGCGCTCCAGCCTGGGCGACAGAGCGAGACTCCGTCTCAAAAATAAAATAAAATAAACATCATCCATCTGACTATAGCCACCATGCCCCAGCTGTCGACTGCTGTAACTGTTACCCAACGAGGCTGATCCTTCCTTCGTGGTTGTGGCCACACTTAAGTTCCCAGTTACGCAATCAAACCCCCATCTAGATGTGGGTGTGGAGGTGCACTGAAGCTGGCGTTTGCATCTACCATCGGTTTGACATTAAGGAAAGGAGATGAACCTCCAAAATGTGAGTGGGCCTCATCCAGCTCACTGAAAACCCCAGAAGCAAGCCTGTCCAACTCCTTCCATCCATTCCCCCACCCAGCTACCCATCCACCGATCCACTGATACATCTATTCATCCACCCGTCCACCCACCCACCCATCTGTTCACCCACACTCCCAATCATCTACCCAGCCATGCACCCATCCATCCACTCATCCATCCATCCATCCATCCATCATCCATCATCTGTCCACCCACTCATTTGTTCACCCACACTCCCAATCATCTACCCAGCCATGCACCCATCCATCCACTCATCCATCCACCCACACATCCATCCATCCATCCATCCATCCATCATCCGTCCACCCACTCATTTGTTCACCCACACTCCCAATCATCTACCCAGCCATGCACCCATCCATCCACTCATCCATCCACCCACACATCCATCCACCCACACATCCATCCATCCATCCATCCATCATCCGTCCACCCACTCATTTGTTCACCCACACTCCCAATCATCTACCCAGCCATGCACCCATCCATCCACTCATCCATCCACCCACACATCCATCCACCCACACATCCATCCATCCATCCATCCATCATCCGTCCACCCACTCATTTGTTCACCCACACTCCCAATCATCTACCCAGCCATGCACCCATCCATCCACTCATCCATCCTTCACCCACCCATCCACATGTCCACTCATCCATCCATCCACACATCCATCCATCCATCCATCCATCCACCCACCCACCCACCCACTCATCCATCCATCCATTGACCCACCACCCACTCATCCATCCATCCATCCACCCATCCATCCATCCGTCCACCCACCCACCCATCTGTTCACCCACACTCCCAATCATCTACCCAGCCATGCACCCATCCATCCACTCATCCATCCATCCATCCATCCATCATCCATCATCTGTCCACCCACTCATTTGTTTACCCACACTCCCAATCATCTACCCAGCCATGCACCCATCCATCCACTCATCCATCCATTCACCCACCCATCCACATGTCCACTCATCCATCCATCCACACATGTATCCATCCACACATCCATCCATCCATCCATCCATCCATCCATCCATCCATCCATCCACCCACCCACCCACTCATCCATCCATCCATCCACCCACCCACCCACTCATCCATCCATCCATCCTTCCATCCATCCATCCATCCATCCATCCATCCATCCACCCACCCACCCATCTGTTCACCCACACTCCCAATCATCTTCCCAGCCATGCATCCATCCATCCACTCATCTATCCATTCACCCACCCATCCACATGTCCACTCATCCATCCATCCACACATGTATCCATCCACACATCCATCCATCCATCCGTCCGTCTGTCCGTCCGTCCGTCCGTCCGTCCATCCATCCATCCGTCCACCCACTCATTTGTTCACCCACACTCCCAATCATCTACCCAGCCATGCATCTATCCATCCACTCATCCATCCATTCACCCACCCATCCACATGCCCACTCATCCATCAGTCCATACATGCATCCATTCATCCATCCATCCGTCCATCCATCTGTCCACCCACCCACTCATCCATCCACCCATCCATCCACTTACCCACCCATCTATGCACCCATCCACCGATTGATTGATCCATCCATCCATCTACCCATCCTTTCATTTATCTATCCATTGTATCCATCCATCCATCCACCCACCCATCTGCATGCCCACTCATCCATCCATCCACACATCCATTCACCCACGTACCCATCCAATCATCCACCCATCCATCCACACATCCTTCCATCCACACATCCATCCATCTATCCATCCACCCACCCATCCACTCACCCACTCATCCATCCACCCATCCATCCACTTACCCACCCATCTATGCACCCATCCACCGATTCATCGATCCATCCATCCACCACCCTTTCATTTATCCATCCATCTATCCATCCATCCACCACCCACCCACCCACCCATCTACATGCCCACTCATCCATCTATCCACACATCCATTCACCTACCTACCCATCCAATCATCTATCCCTCCATCGAGACATCCTTCCACACATCCTTCCATCCACACATCCATCCATCTATCCATCCACCCACCCATCCACTCACCCACTCATCCATCCACCCATCCATCCACTTACCCACCCATCTATGCACCCATCCACCGATTCATTGATCCATCCATCCACCCACCCTTTCATTTATCCATCCGTCTATCCGTCCATCCATCTATCCATCCACCCATCCACTGATCCACCAATCCATCCACCTTCCCATCCATCCATCTGTCCATTGATCGATCCATCTGTCCATCCATCCATTCATCCTTCCTCCCATCCATCTATCCACCTACCATCCATCTATCCATTTATGTATCTATCAATTCTTCCCTTCACCTATGTATCTATCATCTCTGTATCGTCAATCTATATCAAGGTATCTATGCATTTATCATCTATCTATGTATCTGTCTACCCATCCACCCACCTTATCTGTCCATAAACGTCAATCAGCAAGTAAATTAATGTCTGTGTGCACCCTACTGGGTTCTGTTTCTCAGGAGAACATGGACTGATACAGCCCCTTTGAGACTAGAGCCCATAAGGACGTCACGCTTCTCCGGCGTGCTTGCGGCCACCACTGTTCCCCTCTCTCATTCACCCTCTGCTTCTCCCCGTTCTGGGAAAAGCAGCGTTCCCGAGGGCAGAGGGATAGAAGGTCTGGCCCTCCTTCCTGGCTCTGCCCGGGCTCCAGCTCACCTTCCCTCAGTGACTTCTACCTGTAAAGATCGTCAGAGCAAAACCCGCTGGGTCCTGTCACCTTGCTGTGTCTTCTCCAGGAGCCCCATGGCAGCACAGACGTCCAGAAGCTTCTCCGTTCCACAGGCAGAGGCGTCCACTTTGCTGGCAATATCTGGCGCCTTCTGGGGTGCTTCACGTTTTAACCAATCGAACACCTTCAGCTTGCAAGCAGTGAGCAGGGCCTGTTAAAAAACAAGTGCAGAGAGACCCATGAAGTCACTTGCCGAGTACTTTTGACTCCCGCAGACCCAAAAGATGCAGACCAATGTTGTCGAAAGTATTCGACGGGGCCACCGAGCCGCCTTTTACAGAGAACGCTGGGGATCTGGAGGATCAAGTCTCCAGCTGTAAAACAAGGCGTACACAAGGTAAAAGCACAGCAATGAACATCATGCAGAAAAACCAGCCTGTGGGAGAAAAATCAACGTGCTGCAGATATGGGCTGAGTTCCAAACCCGTATGTTGCACCCCTAATACCCCCAGTCCCTCAGGTCAGGATGTGACGGTATATGCATAGGCAGGGTTTGAAAGAAGTGATTCAGGTAAAATGAGGTCATTTGGGTGGAGCCTCATCCAATAGGACTGGTGTCCCTATAAGAAGAGATGAGGACACAGACACACACAGAGGGATGATCCTGTGAGGACACAGGGAGAAGACGGCGTCTCCAAGCCCAGGAGAGAGGCCTCAGGAGGGACCAGCCCTGCCCACACCTGGATCTCAGACTTCCAGCCTCCAGGACGGTGGGAGAATCATGTCTGTTGTTTATAATCCATCCGGTGGTGATTTAATAATCATCACTCAGTAAATTAGAGACAGAGATGGAATGTGCCGTAACTACCTTTATTCCTTATTCACCTCATGTTCTCTCTCCTGGTGATGATGAATGACAGGAGGTGTCAGCCTGGTCTCCCTGTCTCCCCAAAACCTGCACCCCTCCTGCACCTGACATCCCCACCTCTGCTTCCCAGAGGATGCCCTGTAAGGGACCCCTGGTGTTGGGAGGGCTGCATCCCTTCTCGGTCTGCTGTGCGCCGTGAGGGGACCCTGGGAGCCCAGACCTGCAGAATGGCTGAAAGACGGGGCCTGAGGCTGGGCGTGGTGGCTCACGTCTGTAATCCCAGCACTTTAGGAGGCCGAGGTGGGTGGATCGGCTGACGTCAGGAGTTCGAGATCAGCCTGGCCAACATGGCGAAACCCTTCAGGAGGCTGAGGCAGGAGAATGGCGGGAACCCGGGAGGCGGAGCTTGCAGTGAGCCGAGATGGCGCCACCGCACGCCAGCCTGGACGACAGAGCCAGACTCCGTCTCAAAAAAAAAAAGAGTCTTTGCAGACGCAAGTAAGCTAGGGGACTTCAGATGAGTTGGAGTCAGTGGATTAGGGAGGCCTCAAAATCCGGTGACAGGTGTCCTTGTAAGAGACAGAAGAGGAGACACAGACACAGAGGAGGAGGCCATGTGGAGACGGAGGCAGAGACTGGAATGATGCGGCCGCAAGTCCAGGGACGCCTGGAGCCCCCAGGAGCTGGGAGAGGCAGGAAGGATCCTCCCCTAGAACCCTAGAAGGAACGGAATATAATTATACCAGATGGAACAGCGGCCCCCAGAAAGATCTGTCCACATCCTAAAGTCCAGGACCTGGAATGAGACCTGATTTGGAAATAGGGTCTTTGCAGATGTAATCAAGTTAAGGATCTTGACATGAGATCATCCTGGATCAGGGCCCTCAACCCAACAACAGGCCTTCTTCTAAGAGACAGAAGAGGAGACACAGACACAGAGGAGGAGGCCACGTGGAGACGGAGGCAGAGACTGGAGTGATGCGGCCACAAGCCCGGGGACGCCTCGAGCTGTCAGGAGCTGGGAGAGGCAGGAAGGATCCTCCCCTAGAGCCTCCAGAGGGAACTGGATACACCTGGAGGAGATTGAACTGTGGTCCTCCTGAAAAATCTGTCCATATCCTGATCCCCAGAACCTGTGAATGGGACCTTGTTTTAAAAAGGGGTCTTGGTAGATGTAATTAATAATCTCAAGAGGACATCATCATGAAGAAGGATGGACTCCAAGTCCCATGACAGGCGTCCTTCTAAGAGACAGAAGAGGAGACGGAGACACAGACACAGAGGAGGAGGCCACGTGGAGACGGAGGCAGACTGGAGTGATGCGGCCACAAGCCCAGGGATGCCTGGAGCCGTCAGGAGCTGGGAGAGGCAGGAAGGAGCCTCCCCTAGAACGTTCGGACAAAGCGTGGCCCTGAGAGAACTTGACCTCAGACTGCCAGCCTTCAGGACTGTTGATTCAAGCCAAGTGTGTGGGGTTATCGGTGAAAGCAACCTGAGGAGACAGACACAGGTACCTTTGATAGTTTAAAGCCGTCCAGCAGTTCCAGGAGGCGTGTGGGGAACGGGGGCAGGGTCGCCCGAGTCCTGTGGCACTCGGCCTCGGCCGTGGCCTGTCCGGCCGCTCCCACCTCGGCCTTCTCGTCGCGGCTGCCCGTCTCCCTCTGAGCAGGCTCCGAGCCGCCCCCCTCCACATCACTGAGGTCTTCGAAGGTGTCCACGGCCGGGATGCAGTCGTGCTGGACGGGCTGCCGCAGGTCCTCCGGGCGGGGTGGGTAGTAGAGCTCCACCAGCTGCTTGCAGAAGTGGTTCAGCGGGAAGCCCACGACGTTCAAAAAGTCCCCGTGCACAGACTCAACCAGCATCCCGCCCAGGGCCTGGATCCCGTAGCCGCCAGCTTTGTCCCTGGGTGGGCAGGGGAAGGTTAAGAAGTGACGACGGGGAGAAAAGTTTCCGGGTCTAAAAATTTCAGGGCAAGGCCGGGCGCAGTGGCTCACGCCTGTCATCCCGGCACTTTGGGAGGCCGAGGCGGGTGGATTGCCTGAGGTCAGGAGTTCGAGACCAGCCTGGCCAACATGGTGAAACCCCATCTACTGAAAATACAAAAATTACTAACACAGTGAAACCCCGTCTCTACTAAAAAATACAAAAAACTAGCCGGGCGAGGTGGCGGGCGCCTGTAGTCCCAGCTACTCGGGAGGCTGAGGCAGGAGAATGGCGTGAACCCGGGAGGCGGAGCTTGCAGTGAGCTGAGATCCGGCCACTGCACTCCAGCCTGGGCGGCAGAGCGAGACTCTGTCTCAAAAAAAAAAAAAAAAAATTAGCCAGGCGTGGTGGCAGGTGCCTGTAGTCCCAGCTACTCGGGAGGCTGAGGCAGGAGAATCGTTTGAAACTGGAAGGCAGGGGTTGCAGTGAGCCAAGATCGCGCCATTGCACTCCAGCCTGGCTGACATAGCAAGACTCTGTCTCAAAAAAAAAAAAAAAAAAAAAAATTTCATGTGTTAAATGGGATATTTTGACATACGTATACATGTAACATCATTAAATCAAGCCAATTATCCTATCCAGCACCTCATGTACTTATTTTGTGTGTGTGGGGAGAAGACTTGAGATCTAGTGTGCTGGCAATTTTCCAGTAAGACAGTGTTATGAAAGCCACAGTCACCAGGCTGGAAAAAGCCTTGAAATTCTTCCTCCCGTCTCACTTGATTTTTTTTTTTTTTTTTTTTAAAAGACGGAGTCTCGCTCTGTCGCCCAGGCTGGAGTGCAGTGGTGTGATCTCGGCTCACGGCAACCTCCGCCTCCCGGGTTCAAGCGATTCTCCTGTCTCAGCCTCCAGAGTAGCTGGGATTACAGGCGCCCGCCACCGCGCCCGGGTAATTTTTGTATTTTTTGTAGAGATGGGGTTTCGCCATGTTGGCCAGGCTGGTCTCAAACTCCTGACCTCAAGTGATCCACCCGCCTCGGCCTCCGAAAGTGCTGGGATGACAGGCGTGAGCCACCGCACCTGGCCCTGACTTATATCTTGTATTCTTTGACTAAGTGCAACTGTTTTATATTCCATATAAGTAAGATCCTGTGGTATCTTTCTCTGCCTGGCTTATTTCAGTTGACGTAGCATCCTCTAGGTTAAGATACGTATACGTTACGCAGACTCCATCTTGACAAAAACCAAAAACAAAATCGGGCCTGTGCATTGGTGCGTGTGCCTGTGGTCCTAGCTACTCACGAGGCTGTGGTGGGAGGATTGCTTGAGCCCAGGAGTTCAAGACCAGCCTGGGCAACATAGTGAGACCCCATTGCTACAAAAAATTTTAAAAAATTAGCCAGGCGTGGTGGTGTCCATCTGTAGACCCAGCCACTGGGGGTGCTGAGGTGAGAGGATCATTTTGACTGGAGAGGTTGAGGCTGCAGGGAGCTATGACTTTGCCACTGCACTGCAGCCCAGGTGACAGTGAGACCCTGTCTCAAAAAAATAGATAAAATTATTTATATATATATAAACGTATTTTATACAAATTTATATACATAAATATATAAATATTTTATATACTTTTATAATATAAAAATATATTTAATATAATTATTTTTAATATAATCATGTTATATTATATATAATTACATATTATGTATATTATATAATATTTATATATTATAATATTGTATCTTATATATAATTAATATGTATAATTACATATATTTAATATATAATTTATATGCATATAATCACACATAACATATAATATATAGTATTATGTAATTAATATGTATTAATATGTATAGTTACATCTATTCATATTTAATACATATATATTATCCATCATATCATAGATTCATATATAATTCTATATTACATAATATATATAATTATATTTATTATAATATATAATAAGTTATATATAACTATATATAACAGTCCCTATTATATAACTATTTTAAGTGTTATATAATCTATAATATAATGTATTGTAACAATATCTATTATAATTATAATGGTGTATAACTACATTACATTAATATTAATTATGACAATCATTACTTAATATTAATTAAAATTAATCATTAAAATTAACCATTAAATATCAATCGATATTATGATTTATACTCTATAATAAAATATATGTACATATTACAGTATAATAGAATAGATTAGAAATATATAATATATAAACTATTTGCATAACGTATAATTATGTATAATTAATATGTGTAATACATAAGTTATATGTAATTGTAAATATAATCTATCACGTTACGTTATATAATGTATCATTATGTAGACATGATGTGTGATGTAGATGAGTATAACCCATATAAACGCAGATGGTGGATGATGAGTGAAGCCGACGGGTGCCGGCAGACCTCCCACGCTCACCATTCTTTGGCAGGGACGACCGTTAGAATCACTCTTTAGGGTGACTTTGGGATCACACCGTTTCTCAGTGTTAGTTGTAGCCAGCATGCTGGGCATAGACCTCTGGGGTCTCCTCCTCCCACGGCATGAACTTCTCTACCCCTGCCCAGGGCCTCCCCCGTCCCCACCGCAGCCCTTGGCTCCCACCCCGGCCCCTCTCTGTCCTGGAGTCTGGTTCTCTGAGCCTCCATGGCTCAGTGTGGTCGTGAAGAAGGAACTGGGAAGGAAAAGTGCTGTCCTGAGTTCTGTGAGCCCCTGGAGCAAATGACCCAACCTGAGCAGGTGCCTGGACGAGCCCCAGCGAGCGGCGGGTGGCTCAGAAAAGTACAGGTGTGCCCAGGATAATTGTGCTTCCCAGCCGGGCGGCTCTCCCTCTGCCACACGGCCTCAGGAACAGGGGCCTCCTTCTTTCCCAAAGGCCGAGTGGGACCCGCGTGTGAGGGTGGCCAGAGGCTTCCACACGTGTCCCCGTCCTCCCCCGCCCCCGAGACTCACATGGGCTCCCCGCTGTGGATGTATTCCCAGAGCAGCTCCTCAGACAGCTCCGAGAACTTCACCGTCGTTTCCTCGTAGAATTCCGAGACCCTGGTGTGCAGCTGACGGTCTGCAAGGACAGAGCCCTGGGGGTGAGCCTGGACGCCAGCTTGTCACCTCCGTGCCCTGACAGTGGAAAGGCTGTGGAAGTGTGGACTTGAGTGTAGCGCACAGTTCAGATGTGGATGGTTCATGGGGGAAAGGGGTGCGTCTCAGACAAGAAAAGAGAGAAAGGGGCCGGGCGTGGTGGCTCAGGCCTGTAATCCCAGCCCTTTGGGAGGCTGAGGCAGGTGGATCACCTGAGGCCAGGAGTTCGAGACCAGCCTGGCCAACATGGTGAAACCTGTCTCTACTAAAAATACAAAAATTAGCTGGCCGTGGTGATGGGCGCCTGTATCCCAGCTACTGAGGCAGAAGAATCGCTTGAACCTGGGAGGCAGAGGTTGCAGTGAGCTGAGATTGTACCACTGCAGTCCAGCCTGTGGGCAACAGAGCGAGACTCTGTCTCAAAAAAAAAAAAGAAAGAGAGACAAAGCACACGTTTTCCTTTCTCCTGCACACTTCCAAATCGGCTGACAACTTTCCCAGGCAGGCCATAAGCACAAACCCCTCTGGGGGTGGGGGTGGGTAACCGTCCCCCTCCCTCCAGCCCAGGGTCCTGAGAATGTCCCGGGTTCTTCTCTCAGCCTCTGGGGGGGACCCCGATCCCCGGGCCACGGTTACCGTTGCTGGAGCAGTGGACAATGGCGACGCCTGTGAACACGCTGTGCTCTTTCCCACTCAACCTGCAAGACACAACCGGTGACCGTGCTGTGAACCGTGAGAGCTACAAAGCGAGTCTCAAACCAGGGAGCCAGCGAGGTGTCCTTGGTCCTGGCTCTGTCCCCAGTCTCTGCTTCCCGATGGTCCTGCCGTGTGGTCTCCAGGGAAACCTTTACGGAGAGGCCAAGGAAGGCGTCACAAATCCCACGAGCCGTGGCCCTGACGGGAGGCCCCAGGCCGGGCAGCCCTCAGCTGGGCCTATGGCGGGCAGGGAGGGGCGCGTCTCTCCCATGTCCTGGGATGGGAGTGAGATGCCAGGCTGTGGGCTCAGGTCCAGGACGCCCAGTGGGAAGGACAGGGCACTGCCAACTTCTCATGGCCCCAACAGTCTGCAGTGGGCGTGAGACACTCTGGGATCGGTGCTGCAGAATCCCAGACAAGGGTGAGCATGGAGGGATGGTGCCTGCCTCCCTGCACAGCTCAGAGAGCACAGCTCACACACAGCTCAGAAAGCAGAGCTCAGACAGCACAGCTCACACAACACAGCTCACACACAGCTCAGAAAGCAGAGCTCAGACAGCACAGCTCACACAACACAGCTCACACACACAGCTCACACAACACAGCTCACACACACAGCTCACACAGCACAGCTCACACAGCACGGCTCACACAGCACAGCTCACACAGCACGGCGCACACAGCACAGCTCACACACACAGCTCAGACAACACAGCTCACACACACACCTCACACACACACCTCACACACACAGCTCACACACACAGCTCACACAGCACGGCTCACACAACACAGCTCACACACACAGCTCACACACACAGCTCACACAGCTCACACAGCACAGCTCACACAGCACGGCTCACACAACACGGCTCACACACACAGCTCACACACACAGCTCACACACACAGCTCACACAGAGGAGCACAGACAGCACAGCTCCGACGGCAGAGCTGAGACACATCCACCCTGCTCCCCAGGACACCCGGCCGGATATGCCGGCTACTCTGGCCCAGAACCTGAGACAGCTCCGAGGCCAGCACGGTGCTCACCGGGACAGCATCCTGTAGGCGTCCTGCTTGTCCACCGGCTTCTCCAGAATCAGCCCCCCGACCGTCTGCGAGAGGAAGGGAACGCGGGGAGTGGGTCCCCGCCGCCTGAGTCAGGCCACGCAAGCCCACGGGCCATTCGCAGAACTCACTCGTTTTACGGAAATGAAGTGGACACGGCCCGAGAGTCACCGTATCAAACAACTACCTGAACGGACCACGTTGCCTTACCGCGACCTGCCTGGTTCCAGAATGTTCTCTTCACCCCAGAAGGAGACCCTGGCCCCACGAAGCTGTCCCGCCCCAGTGCCCCTCCCCAGATCCTCTTTCTTTCACTGTGCGTTTGCCCGTTGTGGACACGGCGTAGTCATGGAACCCTGCAACCTGCGGTCCTCTGTGCCTGCTTTCCGTCACTGAGCGTGATGTCCTCAAGGTCCATTCATGTTCCTTGTTCCTTTCCTTTCCTTCCTTCCCTTCCCCTTCCCCTCCCCTTCCCTCCGCTTCCCCTTCCCTCCCTTCCTCTTCCCCTTCCCTTCCCCTTCCCTTCCCCTTCCCTTCCCTTCCCCTTCCCCTCCCCTGCCCCTCCCTTCCCCTTCCCTTCCTCTTCCCCTTCCCTTCCCCTTCCCTTCCCCTTCCCTTCCCTTCCCCTTCCCCTCCCCTCCCCTTCCCCTTCCCTTCCTCTTCCCTTCCCCTTCCCCTCCCCTCCCCTTCCCTCCGCTTCCCCTTCCCTCCCCTTCCTCTTCCCTTCCCTTCCTCCTTCCCCTTCCCTTCCCCTTCCCCTCCCCTTCCCTTCCCTCCCTTCCTCTTCCCCTTCCCTTCCCCTCCCCTCCCTTCCCTTCCCTTCCCTCCCCTCCCTTCCCCTTCCCTTCCTCTTCCTCTTCCCCTTCCCTTCCCCTTCCCTTCCCCTTCCCTTCCCTTCCCTTCCCTTCCCTGCCCTTCCTTCCCCTTCCCTTCCCTTCCCTTCCCCTTCCCTTCCCCTTCCCTTCCTTCCCTTCCCTTCCCCTGCCCTTCCTTCCCTTCCCTTCCTCTTCCCTTCCCTTCCCCTTCCCTTCCCCTCCCCTCCCCCTTCCCTTCCCCTTCCCTTCCTCTTCCCTTCCCTTCCCCTTCCCTCCCTTCCTTCCCTTCCCCTTCCCCTCCCCTTCCCTCCGCTTCCTCTCCCTCCCCTCCCCTTCCCCTTCCCCTTCCTTCCCTTCCCCTTCCCTTCCCCTGCCCTCCCTTCCCTTCCCTTCCTCTTCCCCTTCCCTTCCCCTTCCCTTCCCTTCCCTTCCCTTCCCCTCCTTCCCCTTCCCTTCCCTTCCCCTTCCCCTTCCTTCCCCTTCCCCTTCCCTTCCTTCCCTTCCTTCCCCTTCCCTTCCCCTTCCTTCCCTTCCTGCCTTCCCTGCCCTTCCCTTCCCCTTCCCTTCCCCTTCCCCTTCCCTTCCCCTTCCCTTCCCCTTCCCTTCCCTTCCCCTTCCCTGCCCTTCCTTCCCCTTCCCTTCTCTTCCCCTTCCCTTCCCCTTCCTTCCCCTCCCCTTCCCTTCCCCTCCCTTCCCCTTCCCCTTCCCTTCCCCTTCCCTTCCCCTCCTTCCCCTCCCCCCCTTCCCTCCCTTCCTCTCCCCTCCCCTCCCCTTCCCCTTCCCTTCCCCTTCCCTTCCCTTCCCTTCCCTTCCCCTGCCTTCCTTCCCTTCCTTCCTCTTCCCCTTCCCTTCCCCTTCCCTTCCCCTTCCCTCCCTCCCCTTCCCTCTCCTCCCTTCCCTCCCTTCTCTTCCCTTCCCCTTCCCTCCCCTCCCCTTCCCTTCCTTCCTCTTCCCTCCCCTCCCCTCCCTCCCCTTCCCTCCGCCCCCTTCCTTCCCCTTCCTCTTCCCTTCCCTTCCTCTCCCTTCCCTTCCCCTTCCCTTCCCCTTCCCTTCCCCCCCCTCCCTCCCCTTCCCCCCTTTCCCTTCCCCTTCCCTCCCCTTCCCTTCCCTTCCCCTTCCCTTCCTTCCCCTTCCTTCCCCTCCCCCTCCCCTCCCTTCCCTCCCCCCCTCCCCTTCCCCTTCCCTTCCTCTCCCCTTCCCTTCCCCTTCCCTTCCCCTTCCCCTCCCTCCCTTCCCCTTCCCTTCCCTTCCCCTTCCCTTCCCTTCCCTTCCCTTCCCTTCCCTTCCCTTCCCTTCCCCTTCCCCTTCCCTTCCCCTTCCCTTCCCCTTCCCTCCCATTCCCTTCCCTTCCCTCCTTTCCCTTCCCCTTCCCTTCCCTCCCTTCCCTTCCTCTTCCCTTCCCCTTCCCTTCCCCTTCCCTCCCCTCCCTTCCCTTCCCTTCCCTTCCCTTCCCCTTCCCTTCCCCTTCCTCCCCTTCCCCTTCCCCTTCCTTCCCTTCCCCTTCCCTTCCCCTTCCCTTCCCCTTCCCCTCCCCTCCCCTTCCCCTTCCCTTCCCTTCCTCTTCCCTTCCCCTTCCCTTCCCCTTCCCCTCCTCTACCCTCCCCTTCCCTTCCCTTCCCCTTCCCTCCCCTCCCCCCTTCCCCCTTCCCTCCCCTCCCCCCCTCCCCCCCTTCCCTTCCCCTTCCCCCCTTCCCTTCCCCTTCCCCTTCCCCTCCCCTCCCTTCCCTTCCCTTCCCCTTCCCTCCCTTCCCTCCCTTCTCCTTCCCTCCCCTCCCCTTCCCTTCCCCTTCCCTTCCCCTTCCCTTCCCCTTCCCCTTCCTTTCCCTTCCCTTCCCCTTTCCTTTCCTTTCCTTTCCTTTGAGATGGAGTCTCACTCTTTTGCCCAGGCTGGAGTATAGTGGTGCAGTCTCAGCTCACTGCAACCTCTGCCTCCCAGGTTCAAGTGATTCTCCTGCCTCAGCCTCCCAAGTAGCTGGGATTACAGGTGCCCGCCACTACGCCCAGGTAATTTTTTTTTTTTTTAGAGACGGAGTCTCACTCTGCCGCCCAGGCTGGAGTGCAGTGGCCGGATCTCAGCTCACTGCAAGCTCCGCCTCCCAGGTTCCCGCCATTCTCCTGCCTCAGCCTCCTGAGTAGCTGGGATTACAGGCGCCGCCACCACGCCCGGCTAATTTTTAGTATTTTTTGGTAGAGACGGGGTTTCACCGTGTTAGCCAGGATGGTCTTGATCTCCTGACCTCGTGATCCACCCGCCTCGGCCTCCCAAAGTGCTGGGATTACAGGCGTCAGACAGCGCGCCCGGCCAGCCTCGTTCCTGTTCATGGCTGCATAGTATTCCACTGTGTGTGGATGGACCGTGTTGTAATTATCCATTTATCCACTGAAAGGCATGTGGGCTGTTCCTGGCTTTTAGCTGTTGTGAATGGTGCTGCTGTGAACATTTATGTGGAAGTTTTTGGTTGAAGACCTGTTTTGAATCCTTTTGGGTACATACTTAAGAGCAGATGTGTTAGTCTGCTCAGGTCACTATAGCAAAGTCCTTTAACCCGGGTGGCTTAAACTACAGAAATTGATCCTCCCACGGTCGTGGAGGCTGGAAGGGCGAGATCCAGGTGTGGGCAGGGCTGGTTCCTCCTGAGGCCTCTCTCCTGGGCTTGGAGACGCCATCTTCTCCCTGTGTCCTCACAGGGTCGTCCCTCTGTGTGTGTCTGTGCCCTCATCCCCTCTTCTTATGAGATGTCTCAGTCCATTTCAGGCTGCTATGACAGAATACCAGAGACTAGGTGGCTTAGAAACAAAAGACATAGGCCGGGCGCGGTGGCTCACGGCTGTAATCGCAGCACTTTGGGAGGCCGAGGCAGGTGGATCACAAAGTCAGGAGTTTGAGACCATCCTGGCTAACACGGTGAAACCCCGTCTCTACTAAAAATACAAAAATTAGCCGGGTGTGGTGGCAGGTGCCTGTGGTCTCAGCTACTCGGGAGGCTGAGGCAGGAGATTTGCTTGAACCCGGGAGACGGAGGTTGCAGTGAGCCGAGATCCCACCACTGCACTCCAGCCTGGGCAACAGAGTGAGACTCTATCTCAAAAAAAAAATGGGTCTTTGCCGATGTAATTAAGATGTGGTTGGAAAGGATTAGGGTGGACACTTTATGGGTGGTGGTGTTATAAAAAGGGGAAAGTTTCAGCCGGGCGCGGTGGCTCACGCCTGTCATCCCAGCACTTTGGGAGTCCCAGGCAGGCGGATCACTTGAGGTCAGGAGTTTGAGACCAGCCTGGTCATGATGAAACCCGTCTCTACTAAAAATACAAAAATGAGCTGGGCGAGGTGGCGGGCGCCTGTAGTCCCAGCTACTCGGGAGGCTGAGGCAGGAGAACCGCTTGAACCTGGGAAGCGGAGGTTGCAGTGAGCCGAGATCACACCACTGCACTCCAGCCTGGGGGACAGAGTGAGATTCTGTCTCAAAAAAAAAAAAAGAGGAATGGGTCTTTGCCGATGTAATTAAGATGCGGTTGGACAGGATTAGGGCGGGCACTTTATGAGAGGTGTCGTCATAAGAAGAGGAAAATGTCGGCCGGGCACGGTGGCTCATGCCTATAATCCCAGCACTCTGGGAGGCCGAGGCGGGTGGATCACCTGAGCTCAGGAGTTCGAGACCAGCCTGGCCGACGTGGTGAAACCCCATCTCTACTAAATATACAAAATTAGCCAGGCATGGTGGCAGGTGCCTGTAATCCCAGCTACTCGGGAGGCTGAGGCAGGAGAATCGCTTGAACCTGGGAGGCGGAGGTTGCAGTGAGCTGAGATCATGCCACTGCACTCCAGCCTGGGCGACACAGTGAGACTCCGTCTCAAAACCAGAAAAAGAAGAGGAAAATCTGGACACTGACACCCAGAGGGGAGAAGGCCACATGGAGATGGAGGCACCGATAGGAACCACGGGACCCATGAGCCAAAGGATACAAGGAGCTGCCGGCAGCCACGAGGAGCTGGAGACAGACCAAGACCAACGTCTCCTCAGTACGTCTGGAAGGAACGAATCCTACAGACACCTTGATTTGTGGCTTCTGGCCTCCAGAACTGTGTACCTTCCTGTGCCTTTGTTTGTTTGTTTTTTTGGTGGAGTCTTGCTCTTGTCACACAGGCTGCAGAGCAGTGGCGTGATCTCGGCTCACTGCACCCCCCGCCTCCCGGATTGAAGCGATTCTCCTGCCTCAGCGTCCCGAGCGGCTGGGACCACAGGCGCCCGCCACCAAGCCCGGTTAACTTTTTTTTGTATTTTTTTAGTAGAGACGGGGTCTCACCGTGTTAGCCAGGATGGTCTCCATCTCCTGACCTCGTGATCCGCCCGCCTCGGCCTCCCAAAGTGCTGGGATGACAGGCGTGATCATTTTTGTGTTTTTGGTAGAGATGGGGCTTTACCATGTTGGCCAGGCTGATCTCGAAGTCCTGACGTCGGGTGATCCGCCCGCCTCGGCCTCCCAAAGTGCTGGGATGACAGGGGCGAGCGACGGCGCCCGGCCCCTTCCTGTGCCTTTAGGCCCCTTATGTGGTGGCGGTTTGTGATGGAAGTTTCCGGAAGCGAGTCCACCCCTTTCCTCCACAGGCCAGGGTGCTCATACCCAGGAGGCGCTGCTGGCCCCTGGCGAAGGACTGCTGTCTTCAAGGGAACCCGGAACGTCCGGAACAGGCAGAGTCACCCAGCACGTGAAAACCAAGTCGGACGTTAGAAAGGAGGGACCCTGGCCGCACTCACCACGATCGTGTCGGCCCCGATGACCACGTCGGGCGTCCGCAGGTCCTTCTGCAAGAAAGCAAGATTCCGGTTTAGTGGTGACATGCCGTGGGTCTCACAGAGGAGTGTCCACCCCGTTGGTACGGGCGTGAAACAGCAGCACAGGGTGCAAAGCCAGGCCCACTTTGGAAGTTCAGGCTGGGGACGCTCCAAGTCATGAGCAAGGACACGAGTGGGTGTCCCAGCTGGTCCCCCTGCAGGGACTGGAACGTGGGTGAGGCCAGGGCCCCAGGGGCTGCAGGATCAGGGGTCCGGCACTCACAGAGCGTCTCACGGGCACCACGGGAAACACGATGCCTGTTGCGTAAGTTTTTGTTCTTCCAGGTTCTACTTGAGGTTGATCCAGGGGCCCCAAGTTGCCCAGAATTAAGGCCAAAAGACTTTTGACCTGTTCGATGTAATTTCAGAAAAAGGTACTTAGGGCCGGGTGCCGTGGCTCACGCCTGTCATCCCAGCACTTTGGGAGGCTGAGGCGGGTGCATCGCCTGAGGTCAGGAGTTCGAGACCAGCCTGGCCAACACGGTGAAACCCCGTCTCTAAGAAAAATACAAATTTATCAGTCGGGCACCTGTAATCTCAGCTACTCAGAGCCTGAGGCAGAAGAATCTCTGGAACCCAGGAAGTGGAGGTTGCAGTGAGCCGAGATCGCACCGCTGCACTCCAGCCTGGGTGACAGAGCAAGACTCCGTCTCCAACAACAACAACAAAAAAGGCAAGAAAGAAAAAAAAAAAAGGTACTTAGGGTGATAAAACAAATCCAGGTTGGAAATTCAGCCGCAGAGCAGCCGGCAGTCACAGGACATGTGCGTGCAGCTTTGACCTTCGTCACCCCCAGCCCTGGCCTCCCTAAGCTCTGCACTGCCAAAAGCCACAATCAATATTCCTGTCTTCATAGCACTACTCACAACAGCATTCCCTCTAATGGCTTTCTTCCTTTCCTTTTCTCTCTCCTTCCTTCCTTCCCTCCTTCCTTCCTTTAATGTCTTCCTTCCTTCCCTTCCTTCCTTCCTTCCTTCCTTCCATCCTTCCTTCCTTTAATGTCTTTCTCCTTCCTTCCTTTAATGTCTTTCTTCCTTCCTTCCTTTCTTCCTTCCATCCTTCCTTCCTTCCTTTAATGTCTTCCTTCCCTTCTTTCTTTCCTTCCTTTAATGTCTTCCTTCCCTTCCTTCCTTCCTTTAATGTCTTCCTCCCCTCCTTCCTTCCTTCCTTCCTTTAATGTCTTCCTCCCCTCCTTCCTTCCTTCCTTCCTTCCTTCCTTTCTTCCTTCCATCCTTCCTTCCTTCCTTTAATGTCTTCCTTCCCTTCTTTCTTTCCTTCCTTTAATGTCTTCCTTCCCTTCCTTCCTTTCTTTAATGTCTTCCTCCCCTCCTTCCTTCCTTCCTTCCTTTAATGTCTTCCTCCCCTCCTTCCTTCCTTCCTTCCTTCCTTTAATGTCTTCCTTCCCTTCCTTCCTTCAATATCTTCCTCCCCTCCTTCCTTCCTTCCTTTAATGTCTTTCTTCCTTCCTTCCCTTCCTTCCTTTCTTTAATGTCTTTCTTTCTTCCTTCCTTCCTTCCCTCCCTCCCTCCCTCCCTCCCTCCCTCCCTCCTTCCTTCCTTCCTTCCTTCCCTCCATCCCTCCCTCCCTCCCTCCTTCCTTCCTTTAATGTCTTCCTTCCTTCCCTTCCTTCCTTCCTTTCTTCCATCCTTCCTTCCTTTAATGTCTTTCTCCTTCCTTCCTTTAATGTCTTTCTTCCTTCCTTCCTTTCTTCCTTCCATCCTTCCTTCCTTTAATGTCTTCCTTCCCTTCTTTCTTTCCTTCCTTTAATGTCTTCCTTCCCTTCCTTCCTTCCTTTAATGTCTTCCTCCCCTCCTTCCTTCCTTCCTTTAATGTCTTCCTCCCCTCCTTCCTTCCTTCCTTTAATGTCTTCCTCCCCTCCTTCCTTCCTTCCTTCCTTTCTTTAATGTCTTCCTTCCCTTCCTTCCTTCCTTTAATATCTTCCTCCCCTCCTTCCTTCCTTCCTTTAATGTCTTTCTTCCCTTTCTTCCTTCCTTCCTTTAATGTCTTTCTTCCTTCCTTCCCTTCCTTCCTTTCTTTAATGTCTTTCTTCCTTCCTTCCTTCCTTCTCTCCCTCCCTCCCTCCCTCCCACCTTCCTTCCTTCCTTCCTTCCTTCCTTCCTTCCTTCCTTCCTTCCTTCCTTCCTTCCTTCCCTCCATCCCTCCCTCCCTCCCTCCTTCCTTCCTTTCTTCCTTCCTTCCTTCCCTCCTTCCCTCCTTCCTTCCTTTGGAGACAGAGTCTCGCTCTGTCACCCAGGCTGGAGTGCAGTGGTGCCATCTCAGCTCACTACAAGCTCCGCCTCCCAGGTTCCCGCCATTCTCCTGCCTCAGCCTCCCGAGTAGCTGGGACTACAGGCACCTGCCACTACCTACAGGCACCCGCCACCACGCCCAGCCAATTTTTGTATGTGTGTTTTTAGTAGAGACGGGGTTTCACCGTGTTAGCCAGGATGGTCTTGATCTCCTGACCTCGTGATCCGCCCGCCTCGGCCTCACAAAGTGCTGGGATTACAGGTGTGAGCCACCGCACCCGGCCCTCTAATGTATCTCTTATTAAGTGCCATGGCGTATTGTATGGTAACACACATCAACAGGGGAGCTACATTTACTCTATATCCTAAATGATAGTATTACATTCTCTGTAACAGCAAGTTACAACATATAGTAATAGCTGCGTTAATTTTATACATTGTGACTCATATATTAATTGGAGTCATACATTATATAACATATAGTAATGGATAAGCTACATGACTTCTCTATCCTAAATGACAGGAGTGTATTAATTATAATAGTGTATTACGGCCGGGCGCGGTGGCTCACACCTGTAATCTCAACACTTTGGGAGGCCGACGCAGGTGGATCACCTGAGGTCAGGAGTTGGAGACCAGCCTGGCCAACATGGTGAAGCTCCACCTCTACTAAAATAATAGTGTATTACATAGTAGCATATAGTAACAGATAAGTGACGTAATTCTACATGATGATCCAATTATGTTAATTGTCATAGTGTATTACATAGTCTCACACAGTAACACATACTAATTCTGTGTATCGCAACACATAGTGATAGATGTTAATTCTATATTGTAACTGATATTGCTATATTAATTGCAATATTACATTCATAACATAGTAACAGATAAGCTACATGAATCTTAAATCTTAAATGATAGTAGTATATTAATTATAATTGTATATTGCATTGTAGCATATAGGAACAGATAAACTACATAATTCTATATTAGAAATGATGTTACATTAATTGCAATCAGATATTACATAGTGGCACGGTAATAAGCTACATAATTCTATATCATATTATTACAATATATAATACTATTATATTAATTGTAGAATATTACAACACATAGTAATACTGGACATTAATTGTATACCATAAATGATACTATTATATTAATTGCAAGATAATATTATAACACATAGTAATAAACTACATTAATTGTATATCATAAATGACACTATTATATTAATTGCAAGATAAATTATTTTTTATTTTTTGGACACGGAGTCTTGCTCTATCGCCCAGGCGGGAGTGCAGTGGCATGATCTCGGCTCACTGCAACTTCCATCTCCCGGGTTCATGCAATTATCCTGCCTCAGCCTGCTGAGTAGCTGGGATTACAGGCGTGCACCACCACGCCCAGATAATTTTTGTATTTTCAGTAGAGATGGGATTTCACCATGTTGGCCAGACTGGTGTTGAACTCCTGACCTCAGGTGATCCGCCCGCCTTGGCCTCCCAAAGTGTTGGATTATAGGCGTGAGCCACCGCGCCGACCATAAGAGATTAGAATACATAGTAATAGATAAGCTACATTAATTGAATATCATACATGATACTATTCATATCAATTGCAAGAGAATATAACACATAGTAATAATCTACATTAATTCTAGATCATAAATGATGCTGATATCAATTGCAAGAGAATATTAAAACATATAGTAATAGATGAGCTACATTAATTCTATATCATAAATGATACTATGATATCAATTGCAAGAGAATATAACACATAGTAATAATCTACATTAATTCTATATCATAAATGATGCTATATCAATTGCAAGAGAATAACACAGTAACAGATAAGCTACATTAGTTCTATATCATAAATGATACTATGGTATCAACTGCAAGAGAATATAACACATAGTAATAATCTACATTAATTCTGTATCATAAATGATGCTATGATATCAACTGCAAGAGAATATAACACATAGTAATAATCTACATTATTCTAGATCATAAATGATGCTATGATATCAATTGCAAGAGAATATAACACATAGTAATAATCTACATTAATTCTGTATCATAAATGATGCTATGATATCAATTGCAAGAGAATATTGTAACATAAATAGATAAGCTACATTAATTCTATATCATAAATGATACTATATCAATTGCAAGAGAATAACATAGTAACAGATAAGCTACATTAATTCTATATCATAAATGATGCTATGATACCAATTGCAAGAGAATATAACACATAGTAATAATCTACATTAATTCTAGATCATAAATGATGCTATGATATCAATTGCAAGAGAATATAACACATAGTAATAATCTACATTAATTCTAGATCATAAATGATGCTATGATATCAATTGCAAAAGAATATTGTAACATATAGTAATAGATAAGCTACATTAATTCTATATCATAAATGATGCTATATCAATTGCAAGAGAATAACATAGTAACAGATAAGCTACATTAATTCTATATCATAAATGATACTATGATATCAATTGCAAGAGAATATAACACATATAGTAATAATCTACATTAATTCTATATCATAAATGATGCTATATCAATTGCAAGAGAATAACACAGTAACAGATAAGCTACATTAATTCTAGATCATAAATGATGCTATGATATCAATTGCAAGAGAATATAACACATAGTAATAATCTACATTAATTCTAGATCATAAATGATGCTATGATATCAATTGCAAGAGAATATAACACATAGTAATAATCTACATTAATTCTATATCATAAATGATGCTATGATATCAATTGCAAGAGAATATAACACATATAGTAATAATCTACATTAATTCTATATCATAGTATAATAATAATAAATAAATTTAAAAAAAAAAAAAAAAAAAAAACACTGCACACTATCTTCTCTTCTTCTGCATTTTAAATAAAATATGACATTTCCCTCTTATGACATTTCCCTACAGCTAATTGTCCAGAACATATCTAACCTCTATATGCTCAATTAGTAAGTGGTAAAAGGTGCATTAAGAATGACATTTGAATTTAACATTCCAAACAGAACATCTGGTTTAAGTGAGTCAAATAATAAAATTTGCACAGTTTAAAAAAAAAAAAAAAAAAAAAAAAAAATTCTATATCATAAATGATGCTATATCAATTGCAAGAGAATAACATAGTAACAGATAAGCTACATTAATTCTATATCATAAATGATACTATGATATCAATTGCAAGAGAATATAACACATATAGTAATAATCTACATTAATTCTGTATCATAAATGATGCTACATCAATTGCAAGAGAATAACATAGTAACAGATAAGCTACATTAATTCTATATCATAAATGATACTATGATATCAATTGCAAGAGAATATAACACATATAGTAATAATCTACATTAATTCTGTATCATAAATGATGCTACATCAATTGCAAGAGAATAACATAGTAACAGATAAGCTACATTAATTCTATATCATAAATGATACTATGATATCAATTGCAAGAGAATATAACACATATAGTAATAATCTACATTAATTCTGTATCATAAATGATGCTACATCAATTGCAAGAGAATAACATAGTAACAGATAAGCTACATTAATTCTATATCATAAATGATACTATGATATCAATTGCAAGAGAATATAACACATATAGTAATAATCTACATTAATTCTGTATCATAAATGATGCTACATCAATTGCAAGAGAATAACATAGTAACAGATAAGCTACATTAATTCTATATCATAAATGATACTATGATATCAATTGCAAGAGAATATAACACATATAGTAATAATCTACATTAATTCTGTATCATAAATGATGCTACATCAATTGCAAGAGAATAACATAGTAACAGATAAGCTACATTAATTCTATATCATAAATGATACTATGATATCAATTGCAAGAGAATATAACACATATAGTAATAATCTACATTAATTCTGTATCATAAATGATGCTACATCAATTGCAAGAGAATAACATAGTAACAGATAAGCTACATTAATTCTATATCATAAATGATACTATGATATCAATTGCAAGAGAATATAACACATATAGTAATAATCTACATTAATTCTGTATCATAAATGATGCTACATCAATTGCAAGAGAATAACATAGTAACAGATAAGCTTCATTAATTCTATATCATAAATGATACTATGATATCAATTGCAAGAGAATATAACACATATAGTAATAATCTACATTAATTCTGTATCATAAATGATGCTACATCAATTGCAAGAGAATAACATAGTAACAGATAAGCTACATTAATTCTATATCATAAATGATACTATGATATCAATTGCAAGAGAATATAACACATATTGTAATAATCTACATTAATTCTGTATCATAAATGATACTATTATCTAAGTAACTATTAGGTTACTTGCAATAGCGCATTACATTGTAACATAGTAATAGCTCAGCTGTGGCACCAACTGTATCTTGTGAATGACACTTATTTGTATCATGGATATTTAGCACCTGCAAATCCCCTCGTCAGAGCAAAGGAATTTTCATGGGGGCAGAAGGGCAGGGGGCCCCTTGCCTGGTGCATCCGAGTGGCCACCTCCAAGGCCTTCTGCTTGGCGGTCTCCATGGCGTACTCGTACGGAGTGGCGAAGGAGGCTTTGTCCAGCTTCTCTTTAAACCTGGAGGGGACCACCTCAAACCTCAGACCCTGCAACAGAAGAAAAAGGGGTCAGGAGGGTCAACGAAAGAGCCTAAGAAAACGGAACGGAACGGAACGTGCAAGATTGGCAGGAGATGTTGGCTACACGCCCCGATCTTCTCCTCCATCCACCGAACCTTCCCTGAGTGTGGCCGGGGAGTCGGAAACTCACCAGAGCTTTCCCTAAGTGTGGTTAGGGGCCTTCAGGGACTGACCGGGGGCCTTCCTGGCTCTCGACGGAAGACATTGGCAAAGGAAGAAGCCAGGAACGAAGAGGCCAGCGGGGAAGGATTGACTCAGGCCCTGAACGCATGAGTCAATGGTGGCAGAGGGTTCCCGGAGCCCTGATGGTTTGGGTAAAACCATCCTGCCCACAGGAAGTTCAGGAAAAATGCCAGCAGTGATGGCTGCGGGAAAGGAAGCAATGATGGCTCTGAGTCAATCCCTCTGGTACCCAGGAAGAGACAACAGCGTCCCTGGGGAGGCCTGGTCTGAGAGGTAGTGATCCCCGCAGAGACTGTGGGGTCAGGAATGATGGTGGTAAATGCCCCCAGTGGGGGTGCCCCTGGCTGTCACAACCTGCCAGGGCTCAGGGAACTCCGCATCTCCCCCTCTGACAGACAAGCATCGTCATCTTGGACACACACCCCCATGTTGGACACACACCGTCATCTTGGACAGACACCGCCATCGTGGACAGACACCCCCATCTGGGACAGACACCGCCATCTTGGACACACCCCATCATCTTGGACATACACCGTCATTGTGGACACACACCCCCATCGTGGACACACACCGCCATCGTGGACACACACCCCCATCGTGGACACACACCGCCATCGTAGACACACACCGCCATCGTGGACAGACACCGCCATCGTGGACACACACCGCCATAGTGGACACACACCGCCATCTTGGACACACACCGCCATCGTGGACAGACACCCCCATCTGGGACAGACACCGCCATCTTGGACACACCCCATCATCTTGGACATACACCGTCATCGTGGACACACACCCCCATCGTGGACACACACCGCCATCGTGGACACACACCGCCATCGTGGACAGACACCGCCATCGTGGACACACACCGCCATCGTGGACAGACACCGCCATCGTGGACACACACCGCCATAGTGGACAGACACCGCCATCTTGGACACACACCGCCATCTTGGACACACACCCCTATCTTGGACACACACCGCCATCGTGGACACACACCGCCATCGTGGACACACACCGCCATCATGGACAGACACCGCCATCGTGGACAGACACCGCCATCGTGGACAGACACCGCCATCTTGGACACGGTCAACTTGGACACATACTGCCATCTTGGACGCATACCGCCATCGTGGACACACACCGCCATCTTGGACACGGTCAACTTGGACACATACTGCCATCTTGGACGCATACCGCCATCGTGGACAGACACCGCCATCTTGGACACGGTCAACTTGGACACATACTGCCATCTTGGACGCATACCGCCATCTTGGACACACACCGCCATCTTGGACATGCACGGCCAACTTGGACACATATCACCATCTTGGACACATACTGCCAACTTGGACACGCACGGCCAACTTGGACACGCACAGCCATCTTGGACACTTACCACCATCTTGGACAAGTGCCACCATTTTAAGTTCCCTTGATTAAAAACCGCCTAAAACCAGCCCCAAATCATGAGCCTCATGGCTAATGTCAGCATGACCAGAAACAGTCAAACCTTGAAATAAACCACTGTGACCAGAAACATCCCAAGGCCAAGTTAAGCTCCCCTCAGACCAGAGACATTCCAACCCATCAGTCAACTTTGCCTCACACAGAAACATTCCGAGCCCGCCATAGGCTTCCCTTCCTAAACCCTTAAGTACCCTCAGTCTGTAAGAGAACGCTCCCGACCGAACGCCGCCGGAAGCCCCCCTCAGGCTTATTCTCCAAAATAAATCTGTCTTTGACTGTGAAGCTGCTTTTCTTGTTTCATCTTTCTTCAACTCTTACACCCTCCTCAGCCCTTCTCACCTCTTGAAGGCGTACCCAGATCCTGGCCCCAACGCCCATCCTGGTCTTCAGGGCACCATCACCAAGCCCTGGACCTGCCCCGCAGACCTCAACCCCAGATCACGTAGACTCCTGCCTTATGCCCCGTCACCCCCCATCATGGAGACCCATGCCTTCTGTAAGGCACCCAGACCATTCTCATCCCCGTCACTAGGCCCAGGCACGTGGGGTCCCCTCTCCCAGGGTACCAGACCTCCTGTCCTTAGTTCCCAAGAGCAGACTCCTGCCCACTGCTCTATCCATAGGCAACCAGTAACTACCCCACCATCACTAATAACTTTTCTGCCATCACCAGTAACTACTCCCCACCACCAGTAACTACCCCCATCACCAGTAACTACCCCATCACCAGTAACTAACCCCCATCACCAGTAACTACCCCCATCAACAGTAACTACCCCCATCACTACCAGTAACTATCCCCATCACCAGTAGCTAACCCCCATCACCAGTAGCTAACCCCCATCACCAGTAGCTAACCCCTATCACCAGTAACTACCCCACATCACCAGTAACTACCCCACATCACCAGTAACTATCCCTCATCACCAGTAACTGCCCTCCATCACCAGTGAGGGTAGTACCCCCCATCACCAGTAACTACCCCCCATCACCAGTAACTACCCCACATCACCAGTAACTACCCCCCATCACCAGTAACTACCCCCATCACCAGTAACTACCCCACATCACCAGTAACTACTCCCCATCACCAGTAACTACCCCCCATCACCAGTAACTACCCCCATCACCAGTAACTACTCCCATCACCAGTAACTACCCCACATCACCAGTAACTAGTCCCCATCACCAGTAACTACCCCCCATCACCAGTAACTACCCCATCACCAGTAACTACTCCCATCACCAGTAACTATCCCCATCACCAGTAACTACCCCCCATCACCAGTAACTATCCCATATCACCAGTAACTACCCCCATCACCAGTAACTATCCCCATCACCAGTAACTATCCCCCATCACCAGTTACTACCCCCCATCACCAGTAACTAACCCCCATCACCAGTAACTACCCCCATCAACAGTAACTACCCCCATCACCATCAGTAACTATCCCCATCACCAGTAGCTAACCCCCATCACCAGTAACTATCCCCATCACCAGTAACTACCCCCCATCACCAGTAACTACCCCCATCACCAGTAACTACTCCCATCACCAGTAACTATCCCCATCACCAGTAACTACCCCCCATCACCAGTAACTATCCCATATCACCAGTAACTACCCCCATCACCAGTAACTATCCCCATCACCAGTTACTACCCCCCATCACCAGTAACTATCCCCATCACCAGTAACTACCCCCCATCACCAGTAACTATCCCCATCACCAGTAACTACCCCCCATCACCAGTAACTACCCCCATCACCAGTAACTACCCCTCATCACCAGTAACTACCGCCCATCACCAGTAACTATCCCATATCACCAGTAACTACCCCACATCACCAGTAACCATCCCCCCATCAACAGTAACTACCCCCATCACCAGTAACTATCCCCCATCACCAGTAACTATCCCATATCACCAGTAACCATCTCCCCATCACCAGTAACTATCCCCATCACCAGTAACTACCCCCCATCACCAGTAACTACCCCCATCACCAGTAACTACCCCTCATCACCAGTAACTACCCCCCATCACCAGTAACTACCCCCATCACCAGTAACTACTCCCATCACCAGTAACTATCCCCATCACCAGTAACTACCTCCCATCACCAGTAACTACCCCCCATCACCAGTAACTACCCCCATCACCAGTAACTATCCCCATCACCAGTAACTATCCCCCATCACCAGTTACTACCCCCCATCACCAGTAACTATCCCCATCACCAGTAACTACCCCCCATCACCAGTAACTACCCCCATCACCAGTAACTACCCCTCATCACCAGTAACTACCGCCCATCACCAGTAACTATCCCATATCACCAGTAACTACCCCACATCACCAGTAACCATCCCCCCATCAACAGTAACTACCCCATCACCAGTAACTATCTCCCATCACCAGTAACTATCCCATATCACCAGTAACCATCTCCCCATCACCAGTAACTATCCCCATCACCAGTAACTACCCCCCATCACCAGTAACTACCCTATCACCAGTAACTACCCCTCATCACCAGTAACTGCCCCCCATCACCAGTGAGGATAGTACCTCCCATCACCAGTAACTACCGCCCATCACCAGTAACTATCCCATATCACCAGTAACTACCCCACATCACCAGTAACCATCCCATCAACAGTAACTACCCCCATCACCAGTAACTATCCCCCATCACCAGTAACTATCCCATATCACCAGTAACCATCTCCCCATCACCAGTAACTACCCCATCACCAGTAACTACCCCCCATCACCAGTAACTACCCCCCATCACCAGTAACTACCCCCATCACCAGTAACTATGCCATATCACCAGTAACTACCCCCATCACCAGTAACTACTCCCCATCACCAGTAACTACCCCCATCACCAGTAACTACTCCCCACCACCAGTAACTATCCCATATCACCAGTAACTACCCCCATCACCAGTAACTACCCCATATCACTGGTAACTGCCTACCATCACCAGTGAGGGTAGTACCCCCCCATCACCAGTAATACCCCCTATCACCAGTAACTACCCCTCATCACCAGTAACTGCCCCGCATCACCAGTAACTACCCCCATCACCAGTAACTATCCCCATCACCAGTAACTACCCCCCATCACCAATAACTACCCCCCATCACCAGTAACTAACCCCCATCACCAGTAACTATATCCCATCACCAGTAACCATCCCCCCATCACCAGTAACCATCCCCCCATCAACAGTAACTATCTCCCATCACCAGTAACTATCCCACATCACCTATAACTATCCCCCATCACCAGTAACTACCCCCATCACCAGTAACTATCCCTTCATCACTAGACCCTCTCCTCCATGTCATTAGGGCTCCAGAGAGAGGCAGACACCCACTGCCTAGGCCCACTACCACCCGCAATAAGATCCCCACGGGGGCACCAGGAAACACTTCCCACACCCCACCGATGAAGCCCAACCTTCAGTCACAGGGCTCACTCCATCCCTAGAAGTCCTGGATCACTCACCTCCCCAATCCCCAGGGGTCCCAGGTCACTCCCCTCCCCCATCCCTAGGGAGTCCCGGGTCACTCTCCCTTCCCCCATCCCTAGGGGGTCCTGGGTCACTGTGCCCTCCCCATTCCTAGGGGGTCCTGGGTCACTCTGCTCTCCCTCATCACTAGGGGGGTCCTGGGTTAGTCTCCCCATCCCCATCCCTAGGGGTCCTGGGTCACGCTCCCCTTCCCCATCGCTAGGGGTCCTGGGTCACACTGCCCTCCCCATTCCTAGGGGTCCCAGGTTACTGTCCCCAACCCCATGCCTAGGGCTCCTAGGTCACTCTCCCCTTCCCCATCCCTAGGGGTCCCGGGTTAGTCTCCCCACCACCATCCCTAGGGGTCCTGGGTGACTCTGCCCTTCCCATTCCTAGGGGTCCCAGGTTACTCTCCCCAACCCCATGCCTAGGGGCTCCTAGGTCACTCTCCCCAACCCCATGCCTAGGGGTCCTGGGTCACTCTTCCCAACCCCATCCCTAGGGGGTCCCGGGTTAGTCTCCCCACCACCATCCCTAGGGGTCCTGGGTGACTCTGCCCTCCCCATCTCTAGGGGTCCCGGGTTACTCTCCCCTCCCACATCCCTGGGGGTCCCAGGTCACTCTGCCCTCCCCCATTCCTAGGGGCCTGGGTTACTCTCCCCTCCCCCACCCCTAGGGGCTCCTGGGTGACTCAGCCCTCCCCAACCCTAGGGGTCCCGGGTTACTCTCCCCG